ACTTCTCACTATTAAAAAGTGGTTCTATTTTAGTGAGCTTAAGAGGCTGAAAATTATGCTATCAGTGGCCAACTTGTGAAAAAAAGATGGTTAAAACCTTTATAAGCAGTGAGTTCCCAAGCTGGAGTGTTCTTGCCAAGTGAGCCCTTACAGTCTAGCTCCTTGGTCGTTTCCGAAAGTCCGGGGTCCAGGAATTCCAGATTTGGGGTTTACTCAGATGGTCTTGCACCGTGTTTGTTGCTCTGATTCCTGGCTGAGGCAGATGTGAGAAGCAGGGGTCACGAACTCTAGGGTCCCTGCTCAGAGGGTGTCCTAAAGCTGCAGCTGGCGCTGGGGCTCTGCTTGCTGCTTTCAGAGTCTTCTGCAATGACACTTAGTTTGTCAAAGACTTCATTCTCATCAGAGAGTGGAAAGGAGAAAAACAGAAACGTGCTATGACTATGATGAGGGTGGCCCAAAAACTGTGGGAGGAAAAAAAGGACAGTTGATTATCAAATAATTTTCCCATTTCTTTTTCTGGGCTTACAAAGGTGTTTTTTTTTTCTTTTCTTTTTTTAACAGTATTCCTGGCTGCAAAATGCTATCTTAAAAATGTGACAACAGCAGTATGATGGTTCATCAAAAAATTAAAAATACAATTATCGTATGATCTCATAATTCTACTCTAATGTATATACCCAAAAGAACTGAAGGCAAAGTGTTGAAGAGATATTTGTATACCTGTGTTCAGAGCAGCATATTCACAATAACCAGATAGCTGGAAGCAACCCAAGTGTCCATCCACAGAGGAATAGATAAGCAGTATGTGGTCTAGACACACAATGGAGTATTGTTCAGCCTTAAAATTGAAGGAAACTCTGACATATACTATCACATGGATGAACTTTAAAGATATTATGTAAAGTAAAATAAGCTAGTCACAAAATGACACAACTGTATGATGATTCTGCTTATATGAGGGGCCCAGAATAGTCAAATTCACCAAGACAGACAGCATGGTAGTTGACCGGGGATGGGGGAAGGGGAACAGGGAGTTTATTGTTTAAAGGACAGAGAGTTTCAGTTTTAGAGCATGGAACAAGTTCTAGAGACAGATGGTGGTGATGGCTACATAGCCATGTGAATATACTTAATGCCACTGAATTATACACTTAGAAATGGTTAAGGTGGTAAATTTAATGTATATTTTGCCACAATTAAAAAAAAGTGACAATGAATATGCAACTCACTTGCTAAGTGATCACAAGTCACCCTCTGATAGTTCCTCTTTTAGACAAGGAGGGAGATTTTTTAGCCTGAGCGTGAAGCCGTGATGCTGACACAGCTTGGGTGTCATTTTCTCTAGGAAGCAGGGACATTGCAGGCCCTGGATAAATGTCTCCCAGGATAACAAACAGGATCTCCCATGTGACTCTGCCTGACTTCGGGGCCCTCTGTGGAGCTCCTCAGCATTCCACGTGCCCCTGGATTTCAGCCCTTAGCTCTGCACGTCCAACATGGCAGCCATGAGCCACGTGCGGCTACCCACTACTTGAAATGTGGCTAGTTTGAGTCGGTATCTGCTGTGGTGTAAAATATACACCAGATTTCAAAGACTTTGTATGAAAAAGTGAATGTAAAATATCTCAATCATTTTTTGATAAAAAATATTGATTACATGTTGAAATGATGGTATCCGAGATATGCTAGGTTGCAGGAAATATATTATTAATGTTAATTTCACCTATTTCTTTTGGCTTTTTAAAAACGTGGCTACTAGCGAATGTGGCTCGTGGTATGTTCTATCGGACAGTGCTGCCTCGGTACATCTGACGGCCACTGACTCTTCACAGTGAGTCTCTCCCGCAGACGCGGCTAGGTCCGGGCAGGGATCAGACTCCAATCATCTCTGTCCCTCCAGCACTTTGAACAATGCAGATGCCCGTACACATTTCCTGAAATCTCTGCTGGTTGCTCCTTCTCCATTCTTTCATCTTCCTAGGTTCACCAATGCCCTGAATCTTCACGATTAGATGGAGAAACATTCCTTAAAGCTTTGCGATGTGAACCCCGCCCCTCCAGAGGGAACCCCTCTTGGCGTCATTTCCACGCTCAGCCTTGTGCTGTGGCTTCACTGAAGTTGAGCGCAGCTGCACTACCTTCTCGTGTGGACCTGTCAGGATTTCCCCTCCTGCGTCATGAGCAGCTGATGGACGGGAGGGGACAGGGCAAGGGGGACAATGTCCAGATCCCTGCTGGGCCAGCAAGGAACCTGAGGAAGGGGAACCTCTCTAAACCTCAGATCCAGTGAACTCATGAGAATGGACTGGAAGCTACCCTGCATTCTCCTAGGACTGGGGGAGAGGAGAGAACACAGCAAGATGCATTAAACCTAAAGAATGTAAATATCGGCTGAGTCTCCGAGTGGGACACACATATACACGTCAACTCAAGAGGTCAGTGTTGGATAAACCTCTCTCTGTTGCTTTTCCAACCCCAGCACATCTCCCTAAATTCTAAACGATTCTGATTCTGTGGGGCGTGGGGAATGGATTCTATACATTCTGAGTCAAACTGGAGAACTGGTGACGTGAGGACCCCAAACTGCTCTGTAGTCATCTGGTGCCTCACTCGCCCCTCCTTCTCTGGCCCTGCCTCATTTCTCATTTCTCGGTTATTGCAGGGGCTGGCTTCAGTCAAGCCTGCAAACTCTTCTAGCCTGGAGGCAAGAGCTCTGCCAACAGACCCCTTACTGTTTGTCCTTTCCTGTCTGACCAGTCTCTTTGATGGCGAAGCCAGAAGCAAAAATAGCAGGTGAACAGTTTTGCTTCCTCTTGGTTCTCAGTTAACAAAACACCTTCTGCCCAGACCGAAGGGCCCGGCCCTCTTTGTTCTTCCTGCTGCAGCTGTGGCTTCTCAAAAAGCTCACATAAAATATGCAGTTCAATCTAGAGGATTCTCAGTTCACCCCGGTGCTGTAGTCGTGCTGGCACTCTTTTTTAGAAGGTTCTAGCTGCTCTGAGACACTTGCCTGTGGTCATGTGGCCACTTCTATCCACAGTGGATGCTGTGCTACCCACATCCCCTCATGTTGGGGCGCTTGTCTCCCCAGCTTCCAGGAATGCCAGCAGCTGAAATGGCTCACAGCTGAGGCGCTTTCTAGCCGGTGCCTTTTACATAAGGCAGGTGCCTTGGCCAAGGTTCTGTGTCCTTCCCAGAGGTGGCCTGTATCAGTTGACCAGTTGGAATACCTTAATAGGACCAGAAGTGCAAGAAGTGGCAAGGCATCGGTAAGGCACGCACCCTGCGGAGGTAGGACACTCATCCTGTGATGGTGCAGGGACCTGCCACCTCAGTGACGTTTGAGGGGTCCCCCGGAGTGAGGCTTGCCAGGACATCCCCTTTAAAGAACCAATGACTGTGCCCACCTCTCCCACCACCACGAAGGAAGACTCTCCGGTGTGTTTGCCAAGTGACACGGAAGGCTGCGGCTCTGAGGGGGCCCCGAGCAGGAAAGGGCCCCACAGAAGGTACGGGCTACGGACAAGCAGCCCACCCCACCTCAAGACTGGTGCAATACCTATCGATGACAACGTGCTAACGGAACAGATCTCTCAACTGTCCGCGGTGGGAAAGATGCTAGGCGGTGTTTACGGCAGATCCCAAGAGGAGAATCGCCACCCAGACACAGGGTTCTGGGGCCAGGCTGGGCCGTCTGCAGGGGATAATTACACCCTGTTTGGCAACCAGTTCCTGGAGTGCTAAGGGACCTAGTAGAGCCTCTGGCCATGGGACACCAGGGGTGGTCACAATGTTCAGAAGTGGCCATCAGGAGGCCTGCCAGACCCAGCAGGTCCTAAGATGGGCCAAAGGGTGCTTGTCAGCCACACACAGGTGGCTCAGGCTCCCACGCCCCCTACCCCTGTTGCGCCAATGTCTCTGTGTCTGCTCACACTACAGCCACACGGGGATGGGTCATTACGACCAGCTGAAGGAGAAAAAGGCCAGCCCCGTTCCATATGAGGTCGGCATAGTAGGTGGGCACAAACCAAAATGTCCTACTGCTGCATGACAGCCCCGACAGGCAGGCAGAGCCCTCAGGAGGGACCAACCCTGGGGGTTCCCTGATCTCAGACTTCCAGCCTCCAGAACTGTGAGACAATACACTTCTGCTGTTTAAGACACTCAGTTTGTGGAAGTTTGTTATGGAAGCCCTAACAAACTAATACAGACACCATAAAACATCATGTCAAGCCAAGGGCCCTGCTGACAGCACAGGTGGGCAAAAGTGGGCACGTGACCTTGGGACCCCCCAGTTGTGTCACACACGGTACCACCCAGTAGCTGCCAGCCTGGGAGGATGACAGAGTGGCCTGTTGACAATGCAGGCAAGACGCCTGCTTGGGGATGAAACCCAGTGAGGCCAAGGCGTCGTCCTCCAGCACTTGGCATGCACTCAGAATCCACAGGCATTACGGGGTGCTGTGTCCCCAACAGGCAGAACGTATGGGTGCAGGAGGGCACTGGTCACCCTCACTCCTGTGACCTGCTTGGGAAAGTGGTGCCCCCCTGGACCTCTTGCCGTGCCCCCGCCCATGAGATTGGCTTCCGTGAGTCTCCAGCAGAGGGCAGCAAACTACGGTCCGGGAGGCAAGAATGATTTTTGCTTTTCTCAATGATGACATTTAAAGGGTTATATATAAGTATGCATAATTTCAGTTTTACCTTTTGGCCTGCAGAACCTGAAATCTTTTCTGTCTGGCACTTTAAGTAAAAGTCTGCTGACCCCTGGCCTGGAGGGTTCCAGGTTGCAGGGACGGCTTGCAGTACAAACCTCTGCCTCCTTCCTTACGGCTGTACCTAAAATGGGCTCTAAAATGGGCTCTAAAGAACGGACCAGCATGTGAGATGTGTGTCATTCTCCCGGAAAACATATCGTCTGGAATCAGGAGGCCCTGACTGAAAAAAAACCTCTTTCCAATCAAGGTTTTCGAACCCACATCTCCCTCCATCCTACCCACCTCTTTCAGGTGCTGTGGAAGGGAGTTCCGGGGTGGGAAGGCGTACTTAGTCTTCTTGTAAATGCACCACAGCAGGGCGAAACAGCCGAGGAGCACCAGGAAGACCACAAAGACAGACGCGATGAGGATGACAGCGACCAGCCAAGAGGGGATCGTGTCTGCCAGGGAAAACGTGTGTCACATTCTTATCCTAGCTTGGGTCGCAGTGATCCCAAGGCCATTGTAACCATCACAGCCCAGTGGCAATCCCTGAGAGCAGGGCCATGTGTGCACCTTGGAGGACGTCTCCGCAACACAGCGGCTGGCTGGAGGGCCAGGGGTATGCAAAGAGCTGTACCCCTTCCTATCTTCCTCAGAGTCTGGTTTCTGACATTATTCCTGACACACATAAAAAGAGTAAGCAAGGATTCTGACCCACTTTATCTACTTGCAGGGTAGCCACGAGCCTCCCTGTTCTGGATATACCTCTTCTGCCCCGAAGTAGCCAACGGACTCCTCTTGGCTCCGGCCTGAGTTAAGGTAGGCAGCACCGTGTTTCGTACTGAGAATAAAGCCTTGCACGAACAACTCCCTCAAAAGCCTGTACTAGAGATCTGCCCCAACTCCAGCCTGGCTTCTAGCAGCCTGAGGCCACATCCCTGGGATGACACAGCTCCTCCTGAGTTCTTGTCTAGAAAAACTCAAGGCTGCCTAGAAAATTTACCCTGATGATAGGCCTCTGACCTCTCATTCTGAGAGCATCTTCTAGAAAGGGCTTACAGCTGTGAATCCTTCCTCTGTTCTTCTGAGACATACATGTATCTCCTACAACCTGGGAGTGTCCTTCATGAGGACCGAGAGCCACTCCTTTGAAGTTATAAGGAAGGACAGGGCCTCTGTCTCCCTGTCTCTGGGCAGGTGTAGAAGCCTAACCTGGACAAATGCCTTTGTAAATACAGGTGGCCTAATAGATTGACCAACCTCCTACCCAGTTTTTGTCATTTTTCCACTTCCCTGACTCTGCTTACGTCCCCTCTTACGCCCCCTCTCTACTCAGTCATTACTGAATAAAATGTTTTTACTGTTCTAGCTAATGTCTCGCTTTACCTCTGACAGATCCTGGATGTCACCCTGGTTATCTATGGTCCCAGCTCCCCTTGTTTGGCACCGGGCCGCATCTAACCTCCCTGTGCCCACCCCCTGCCAACCAGCACAGCCCTCACGAGCAAAGCCCATGCATCTGGGGATAAGGGGGCCAGGAGAATGAACGCTACCAGTAGCAGCAAGTCACTTTCTATACACAGAAATACTCAGTGTCTGGGCTACCTGATATCTTCGTCTCTCTCCCCCCCAACCCCGGCAACCTCCTTTAAGAAAAAACAAACCCGGGGGAAGTCCGCCAAAAAACGAAAGCCAAAACAAAAGGGAAAGAACAAGCCGAAGGAACGGTTTTTTTATTTTATAATGGGCTCTGAAACAAGTGGCACCAGCTGAGGACAGGGGCGAGGTTTCCAGGCTCTCTCTGCCAGGCATGTGTCTGCAGGAGCTCAGCCTGGGAGCAAAGACTCCGGGGAAAGGGTGGCAGGGCACAAGGTGGCCTCAGGAGGATGATGAGCCTCGCTGCAGGCAGGCTGGGAGGGCAGAATGGCACAGGGGAGGGCGGCTCCTGGACACAGACCCTGGTCCAGACGACAGAAAAGGTTCCCATCAGTTCCTCTGATCTGAGGTTCTGAGCTGCCTCAGCAGGGGGTGGCCCCTTCTGGCACGAAGCTGATCAGCCAGGGTTGGGAGACCATACCAGGGTGACACATTTTTCTGAACTGGGTTGGAGTCTAGGCCAGAGGCGATGGTGTCTAAGGAGCCTTCTGGCCCTAAAGTCTGCAGAGCTGCAGAGCTGCTGACAACGCTTGGGGCAGGCAGAGCCACAGGCTGTGACCTCATGACTCACCGTCCTCAGTGGTCTGCTCACAGACAGGCTTGCTCCACTCGCCGGTTTTGTTCCGATCGGGAAGAAACCCTTGAACTTGAACACAGTAAGTTGTCCATGGTTCCAGGTTTCTGAGGACCTCGAAGTCATAGTGAGGAGTAATTTGGAACTAGGATTGGAGACAAAAATAAGAACACGGCTCAGCAGTGAAGGGATACCAGCTTTTGTTCCATACTCATGAGTTATAATCTCTGCTTCAGATTTAAAATAGGAAGGAGCAGGTAGCAGGTGCTCCTCCCAGTTCATTTCAGGGGACTGTGACACCATGCTAAGCAGCTCAGCAAGGGACTGACTGTGATGCTGACAAACCCTGTTGTTTCCTGAATTCTCTAGCTTAAGTAACATACAAATCATCCCATTTCTTTTTTTAAAAAAGACAAGTTTTAATGGGTTGACCCTGTGTCACACAAAAATTTATATGTTGGAGCCCAAACCCTGGGTACCTGTGAATGTGACCTTATCTGGAGAGAGGGTCTTTACTATCAAGTTCACAAATGAGGTTATTATTTGGATTAGGTGGGTCCCTAATCCAAGGACTGGTGGCCTTATTATAAGCAGAACTTTGGACACAGGCACACAGGAGGAATGCCATGTGAAGGTGAAGGCAGAGATTGGGGTGATGTTTTCACAAGCCAAAGAACGCCAGAGATTGTCAGCAACCACTGGAACGAGGGAAGGCATGGAGCAAATCCATCCTTGACACCTTCAGAAGGAGCATGGCCCTGTGGACACCTTGATCGTGGACTTTCAGCCTCCAGAGTTGTTAGACAATAAATTTCTATTGCTTAAGCCTCCTAGGCTCTGCTACTTTGTCATAGCATCCTTAGCAAATGAATAGACCGGTCACACACAGTAAGACTCAATGTGATTTTCTTTTTAAGTTAAGAGCACGTTTTTAACCCTGGCTGCCTGGGCTTCTCCTGACTCACTTCTCCACGTTCGTTCTCCACACACCCGACCTCACCTTGAGAACACATGCCACAGCCTGCCTGCTCAGGGGGTGGTGGCACCGACTCATCTTAGTTTAATTTGCCTGTAAGATATCGTAATCGATGATATATTTCTGGATTTGAGAACTCAAAATAGTTCCCAGCAAAATAAAGGGAATTAGTAAGTATACAAAGTGAGCACAGTCTCTTTTTGTACTTTAGTAATTACTTATTTTTCTTTTGGGTTGGGGCTACTGACAGCTTGTCTATATCCCTTCATTGTGTGAGCAGGTAAGCGCGTGGAGGTCAATAATTGGGTTAGATCTACTGAATATATTGAAGAGTGCTAGGATTATACGCTTAGAATATATGAAGAGTATGGTATAACTTCTAATAAGTAAATTAAAAAACCAAAACCAAACCAAACCAATCCAAAAAAACAAACAATCAAAAAAACCCCCACAAAACACCTGGCTTTCATTTCTAGAAGCCTAATGCCTCTAAAACCTCACAGTGAAATTTTTTTCAAAGACTAAACTCAGAGGCCCTAGCAAGCAGGTGGCGGGCAGTGTGGGGGTGGCACAGCCAAGAAGGCACCGTCTCCAGCCCCTCTGGGGCTTTTTCACTTCTGGGTGACTTCTGGCTTTATCTTCTCACTTTCTCCCAACAAGATGGAAAAATTTCCAAAAGCCCTTCATGCCATTTGTTTAGGGACCGAATCTGGCACCAGCTCAGGAAAAGCTGCATTCTAGAAGGGAACCTTTAATGGTGACATTGCAGCCACCCATGAAAAGCTATGCAGCAGGTGGCCTTTGCACACTCTGAAGGCTGCCATGCAATTGGGCTCGAGAGGAAAAATGTGCAACCAGATGCCTGTGCTGGGTGTATGCGGGATAAGCAGCTAAATATAAAATGGGGTTTGTATCTCACACGTGCCGCAGGAGGCATTCAGCCATAGTGACTACAGAACTGGACTTTTTTTTTTTTAAACAAGGTCTCGATCTGTTGCCTGGGCTGGAGAACAATGGCATCATTACAGCTCACTGCAGCCTTGAATTCCTGGCCTCGAGTAATCCTTCTGCCTCAGCCTCTGGAGTAGCTTGGACTATATGTGCACATCACTATGCCTGGCTAATTTTCTTCATTTTTGTACAGATGAGGTCTCGCTCTGTTGCCTAGGCTGGACTCAAATTCCTGGTCTCCAGTGATCCTCCAGCCTTGGCCTCCCAAAGTGCTGGGATTATAGCCGTAAGCCACTGATCAGGCCTGGATCTTTAATTGGAGTCTGTTACTAACCCCTGGAGGGGAACAGTCTGCTCTTATCTTCCTACCCCAGGGCTTAGCAGAGACACCTGCATTTAATAAGTGATTATGAGTATGTGTCCCCCCAAAATTCAAATGTTCAAACTTAATCGTCAATGTGATAGTATTAAGAGGAGGGGCCTTTAGGAAGTGATTAAGGGGATTAGAGACCTTATAAACAGACAGCAGGGAGCTGTCTGTCCTTTTTCCCCAACCCTTCCACTGTCTTGGAAGCAGAGGGAGCCAGCACTCAGCAGACACTGAATCTGCTGGGAACTTGATCTTGGACTGCCTAGCCTACAGAACTGTGAGAAATAAATTCCTATTGTTTATAAATTGTCCCGTCTGTGGTCAATTTTTATTATTATTATTATTATTAATAATAATATTAATAATAATAATAACAATTATTATTATTTTGTTATAGTAGCAGAAATGGAGTAAGATGCTGCATTATTTAATGGAGCATTTTTTTGTGAAAAAAATTAACTTGAGTTTTGGGCTATGCAGTGTATGTATATAAATTTAATTACATCATTCCTGAGACAATAAACATGGGTGATCCCCTCTTCCCAAACTCATTGAGAATTAAGTTATAAAATCAATATTTAATGTGGAAGAGATAACATATATGTAATATAACTTATATAACATATATGTAGGTCAGTTCAGGACCACGAATGGCATTCATCTCAGAAACACAAAGAATAAAATGTGACCAAGGGAGCATGAAAATTGCCTTAACAAGTCTACAAAAGTGGAAGGAAACCTCACGTATTGACCATATATATTGTTCCATGGGACAAGTTTATGTTTTTATTATGCCATTAAATTCCCCAACAATCCTATGAAGTAGGTTTTTATCCATATTTTATTATACCCTTTTTGCAGACCTGAGGAAGCTGAGGTCAAGAATGTTACCAGAGCTACATGGTGGCAGGGGCAATATTTCAATCAGGTCTTTTGACTCCAAACCCATGTTTTTAAAGGACTTGTCCCTGAAGAAGACAGCAAAAGAGAAAAGTGAGGTCAGAAAAGGTTAAAATGTGACACTGTCCATGCAGTGTCCTGGGGTAGGGCTGCCTCGACTGCTGACTTGCCTGATCTATGGGAAGTATGGGAACAGGGGTTGATGCCACGAGACAGCGGTCATTCAGCTGACCCCAAGTTCCCACAGCCAACTCTGACTCAGCTCTGCCTGCTCCTGCAACTTCCCTTCAGGGGGAGAAAGGGCTGTTCTCACTGTGCAGACTTCAGCCTGGAAGTCTGCTCTGTGCACTTCCATGGGGGCTGGGAAGCTCGAGCCAAAGGTACCAGTCACCCTTCAGTCTGGGAAGCTTCTGGCTCTCAGAGGGTCAGGCCCTGGACCATAAGGTGTTGCCACCTTGCCAGACCCTGCCTGGATGGCCTCCTGGCCTTCTCTCTTTATTGTCATGTTCTCAGACTGAAACTTAAGCAAAGAACGTGAGAGCTTCCATCTGAAATGCGATTAATCAAGCTTACCTTTTCATCTGTACCATTTTTCCAATATTGCACGTTGTAAGCCCACGAGTTATAAATATTCTTCATGGTCCACGTCTCGGGTTCATTCTCAATTTGAGGGGCTGAGAAACGCATATGTAGAGAATCAGCAAGCATTTCTACTTGCATTCCAGGAGGTCCAATAACAGCTAAGTGTGAGAACAGAGTAAAATGATAATCAAAAATCACATTTTACAAACTTCATTTCACCGTTAATTTTTCATTTTTATTTCTCTAAAAAAAATATCTGATAACCTTTGTCTTTATTAATAAAGTATGGTTCATTTGTGTTAATTGTGATTTCTGATATATTTGGAATTCTGACTACATCATTTTGTGTTTTCTGTAAAAGCTGCTTTTAAATTTTTATTTTACTGCTTTGGCTTTTTCCCCTGCTCTTTTTTTTTACTTTTATTTTCTGTTTTCTATTGGCTTGAAATTTATTTCCTTTGCTAGGCTGGAAGCTACAGCTGATATTTCTATTATTTTTAGTGGCCGCCCTTAAACATCTAACATATATGATTAACCATATGTATTTTTCCAACAACGTCTAACGCTGTTCCCCGCCGTACGTGCTTTTGCTATTCAGGTGTCTGGTGCCTTCACTTCGTTTGGGTCTCTGTTCAAATGTGTCAGCTCCTCTGGGAGACTGTATCTTCCCACCCCTAGTAAAAAAGCAGCTTCCATCACTTTCCATCCTATTACCTTGCTTTAGTTTTCTTGAGAGTCACAGTCACAACCTGTCCTGCAACATATACATATTTGTTTATTATCTGTCTTCCTTATTAGAATATATGCTCTGTAGGGGCAGGGGCTTGCTCTTGTTCCCTGTTGTAGCTTCAGCACTCAGAATGTGCCTGGCACAACAGTGCTCAGTAATAAACACAGATGGGATAATAAATGGTTCTGGGCAACTGTGCTGTTTTGAGTTATGTCCTGAAATTTTCTCTGGCTGCTGCCACATTTTCAGGGCTGCTAAAGGGCCTACTTGTACCATTCTAATATGCTGGTCTGAAAACCAGATTAGAAAATCTGTTAGCTATGTTTCCAAAGCAAGTATAAATTGGTTCTGCATGACATCTCAAAGCACTTTCCTATCACTAAAGCACATCGCCTCCAGGAGGCGAATATCCAATACGGGCAGTAGTTGTAAGAGCACAGACACAGGAGCCTGGGTCTGAGTCCCTGCTCTGCGCTCTTTGCCTGTGTGACCTTCCCACAAGCTGCTTAACCTTTTTTTTTTTTTTTTTTGAGACAGAGTCTTGCTTTGTTGCCCAGGATAGAGTGAGTGCCATGGCGTCAGCCTAGCTCACAGCAGCCTCAAACTCCTGGCCTCAAGCAATCCTGCTGCCTCAGCCTCCCGAGTAGCTGGGACTACAGGCATGCACCACCATGCCCAGCTAATTTTCTTCTATATATATTAGTTGGCTAATTAATTTTTTTCTATTTATAGTAGAGATGGGCTCTTGTTCTTGCTCAGGCTGGTTTTGAACTCCTGACCTTGAGCAATCCGCCTGCCTCGGCCTCCCAGAGTGCTAGGATTATAGGCGTGAGCCACTGTGCCCAGCCTGCTTAACCACTTTGAACCTCAGCTGCTGAAGGTAACATTCATACATGGGACCTAAAATAGGATTTGGAACCAGCTGGGACATGTGAAGTAAGTCAGCAATCATAGGAGCAGAAACCCATACTTGACTATTATGAAACTGCATTTTTTTGTGCTTATTTTTTTTCCTGGTTTTTATAATGGTACCTTTGGAAAAGATAATATACCTTTGATCATTTCTGATTTCAGAAATAAGAGGCTTTTGCCCAAGCTTGGAACAGTATTAGAAAGGGAAAAAGGACCTTCTAGCCTCATCCCTACCAGGGAGAATGTGACTGCGGGAGCCAGGGGGGTCCAGAGGACTGGTACAAGGACCCTTCCCACATAGGGACAATTATTTTAGTGTTTCTCTCTACCTGCTGCTTGGAGGGCTATACTGAGTTTTGTCCATCAGATTCTTGTAACCCCCAATCCTCTTTCCTCTCTCAATTGCTATATGGTGGTTTCATTAGTTTCCAGTTGGATATTTTAGGTATGTTCATCTGGCGGGTCCCTATAACCCTCCAGATCTAACCTGGGGACATTCTTTTCAACACCTACCAGCCACCCTGACCCAACCCATGTGCCATCAGCTGTACCCCTCCCTTTTATCCTTTGTCCCTTGCTCCCAGCAAATTTACCACATGAATCTCTCCAGTTCTTCTCATGAACCGTGCTGACCTCAACTCATGTATACCCTTAAAACACTGAAGCTACTAAATTTACATTTAATTATTTTACTGATGATATGCTTGTCCTTTCCTGTTTCTCCCAAGAACTCCTTTAAGGCCACAGCCCCCTCTGGTATATTCACTAAGCTCCTTGTACAAGGCCCTCCACTTGTGGGCACTCAGAGAATTCTTGTTGATGGACCAATCAATGTGCAAAAAACTAAGGCAACATGACAACATTCCAACAAAATGGGAGACAAAATGGCTTACTGTCGTCCACAGGACAGAAGGTGATGTTTACCCAGTCTGAGTGCTCATCTGCAAATTCAGCTCTGACTCTCAAGGTGTGGTCACCATACTTGGAAAGAGTTGAGAAGTCACATTCCGTCGAGGCAGTGCTCACGCACACATCTTGGAATTTCTTGTAACTACGCAGTCAGAAAGATAAATAAATCATAAGAACTCTAACTTCAGTCTCCCTGAGGTTGACTGGTGTTTACTCCTCCTGCTCCCGATGACTAACAGAGAATAATGACAGAAAAATAAAGCAAATTCTTAATCATCAGTGTTGATGAACAGTATTATGATTTATATCAGTATTTTCCAAGCTGTGCTGCATGGGATCTTAATGATCCTTGAGATATCATAAGGCAGTTAAAAAAATAATCTATCCCCTGGTTAAATAAGTTGGAGGAAAAAGTGGGTTAAATATGAAAATAGATGTCTTTAAAAAAGAACAGACTTCTTACATCCTAATAATAAGCACATGCCTCTCAAAACATGGGTTAAGTCTTTAACATATATGACCCAAAAAGCTTCCTTCCTTGATTATGTATTTCTGAAAGCATTGGCATAGGATTTGTGATATATACAGATTAACCAAAATAAGGATATTCAATTCAAATAAAGATAAGCAATTTCAAATACAGTCACATGATGCATAATGCCGTTTTGGTCAATGATAGACGACATGACTTATACAATGGTGGTCCCATAAGACTATAATACTGTATTTTCACTGTACCTTTTCTATGTTTAAGTTTGTTTAGATACAGATACACGTCATTATCATGCTTCATTTTATTTTGTAGAACGCACTACAAACCGAACGTTCTACAAACTGAATATTTGTGCCAACCCTGTGTCAAGTCTATTGGTGCCAGTTTTCTAACAGCATGTGCTCACTTTGTGTGTGTGTCACAGTTTTGTAATTCTTGCAGTGTTTCAAACTTTTTCACCATTATGACATCTGTTATGGTTATCTGTGATCAGTGATCTTTGATGTTACTATTGTAATTGTTTTGGGGTGCCATGAACTGTGTCCATATAAAACGGCAAACTTAATTGATAAATGTTATATGTTGTTCTGACTGCTCCACCGACCGGCCATTCTCCTGTCACCCCCTATTTCCTCAGAAACAAAAGTACTGAAATTAGGCCAGTTCATAACCCTACAATGGCCTCTAAGTGTTCAAGTGAAAGGAAGAGTTGCATGTCTCTCACCTTGGAAACGATCAGGCTTAGAAAGGGAGTCATGCCGAAAGCCAACACAGGTCGAAAGCTAGTGAGGCCTCTTGTGCCAAACAGCCAAGTTGTGAATGCCAAGGAAAAGTTCTTGAAGGAAATTAAAAATGCTACTCCAGTGAAAACACACAATGATAAGAAAGTGAAGCAACCTTATTGCTGACATAGAGAAAATTTAAATGGTCTGGATAGAAGATCAAACCAACCACAACATTCCCTTAAGGCAAAGTCTGATCCCGAGCAAGGCCCTAACTCTCTTCAATTCCATGTGAGGAAGCTGCAGAACAAAAGTTGGAAGCTAGTAGAGGTTGAGTCATGACATTTAAGGAAAGAAGCTGTCTCCAGAACATAAAATTGCGAGGGGAAGAAGCAAATGCTGATGGAGAAGCTGCGGTGAGTTATCCAGAGATCCAGCTAAGATCACTGATGAAGGCGGCTCCACTACACAACAGACTTCCAATGCAAACAAAACAGACCTCTATTGGAAGAGGATGCCATGTAGGATTTTCATAACTAGAGAGGAAAAGTCAATGCCTGGCTTCAGAGCTCTTATTTTTAATTATTTTTACATTTTTAACTTTATTATTATTATTATTGGGTTTTTTTTAGAGACAGGGCGTTGCTCTGTTACCCAGGCTGGAATGTGGTGACATGATCATAGCTCACTGTAGTGTTGAACTCCTGGGCTTGAGCAAACCTGCCTCAGCCTTCCAAGTAGCTAGGACTATAGGCATATGCCACCATGCCTGGCTAATGTAACAAAAATTTTCCTTTTCTTTTACAAATGGGGTCTCTCTATGTTGCCCAGGCTTGTCTTGGACTCCTAGCCTCAAGTGATCCTTCTGCCTCAGCCTCCCAAGTAGCTGGGATGATAGGCATGAGCCACCATGCCCGGCTGGCTTCAAAGCTTTGAAGGACAGGCTGACTCTCTTGTTAGGGGCTAATGCAGCTGGTGACTTTAAGTTGATGCCAATGCTCATTTACCATTCTGAAAACCCTAGGGTCCTTAAGAATCATGCTAAATCTACTCCGCCTATGTTCTATAAATGGAACCACAAAGTCTAGATGATAGCATATCTATATACAGCATGGTCTACTGAATATTTTAAGCTAACCATTGGGGCCTACTACTCAGAAAAAAAATTATTATGAGCAGTAATAATTGTCAATATTATTAATACTAACAAGTAATCTTGTCAATATTACTGCTCATTGACAATGCACCTCGTCACCCAAGATCTCTGATGGAGGTGTATAAAGAGATTAATGTTCTTATGCCTGCTAACGCAACATCCATTTTGCAGCCCATGAATCATGCAGTAATTTCCACTTTCAAGTCTTATTATTTAAGAAGTATGTTTCATAAGGCAATAGCTTCCACAGATTCTTCTGATGGATCAGAGTGGTCAACTGAAAACCTTCCGGAAAGGATTTACCATTCTAGATGCCATTAAGAATATTTGTGTTTCATGAGAGGAGGCCAAAATATCAACACGAACAAGACTTTGGAAGAAGTTGATTCTAGCCCTCATGGATGGCTTTGAGGTGTTCATGACTTTAGTGGAGGAAGTCACTGCAGATGTGGTGGGAACAGCAAGAGAACAAGAATTAGAAGTGGAGCCTGAGGATATGACTGAATTGCTACAATCTCACACTAAAACTCTAATGGAAGAGGAGCTGTTTTTTATGGATGAGCAAAGAAAGTGGTTTTTTGAGATGGAATTTATTTCTGGTGAAGATGCCATGAACATTACTAAACTGACAACAAAGGATTTAGAATATTACATAAGCTTAGTTAACAGAGCAGTGGCAGATTTTGAGAGGATTGATTTCAATTTTGAAAGAAGTTCTACTGTGGGTAAAATGTTATCCAACAGCATTGCGTGCAACAGAGAAATCCCTAATTTCTGAAAAAAGTGTCAACTGATGTGGCAAACTTCACTGTTGTCTTATTTTAAGGAATTGCTCTAGCTATCCCAACCTTCAGCAACCACCACCCTGATGAGTTAGCAGCCATCAACACAGAGGCAAGACTCTCCACCAGCAAAAAAAAATTACAACTTGCTGAAGGCTCAGATGATCATCAGCATTTTCCAGCAACACATTATTTTTAAATTAGGGTATACATACATTTTTTAGACAATGTTACTGCATACTTAATAGACTACACAATACTGTAAACATAACTTTTGTATGTATTGGGAAACCAAAAAATTCATGTAGCTTGTTTTATTACTTGTTTGCTTTATTGCAGTGGTCTGGAACCCAGCCTGCTAATATCTTCAAGGTATGCCTGTATGTAAATACTAACCATTATGTGGCAATTGCCTGCAGTATTCAGTACGGTAATATGCAGCACAGGTTTGTAGCATTAGGAACAATATGCTACACCAGGGGTCCTCAAACTTTTTAAACAGGGGGCCAGTTCACTGTCCCTCAGACCATTGGAGAGTGTGCACTGTGGGCCTGGGACGAGTTGGCTGCTAAGCAGGACAGGCAGTGGCGGCAAAACACCCGGAGGGCTAGATAAATGTGCTAGGCAGCCCACATGTGGCCCTCAGGCTGTAGTTTGAGGACACCTGGGCTACACCTTATAGGTATGCAGTAGGCTATACCATCTAGGTTTGTGTAAGTACACTCTATGACGTTTGCACAAAGGTAAAATCACCTAACGATACATTTCTCAGAACATGTCCCTGTTATTAAGCAATGCTTGACTGTAATATCCTATATATGACTGTCGTTGCAATTACCCTGGAAAATTTATAAAATAATGCATCAATCGCAGTCAGAACTCTATCCCCAACAGCAACCACTGAAGGGAGGGTAGCAGAAATGTGAAGTGGAAGCAGAAAAGACATGACATTTGGGACTACCTACTGGATGCTAAGCAAATACAATCTATCGATCTCCATGACTTAATCTCACGACAGCCTGAGGATGTATAATTATTAATAGCTTACCCTGACCTAAGGAAGTCCAAGTTCTCCTCCTGCAAAAGGCCAGGATATTGTTTGACTGGTCCCCCAAGGCACCTTTTGTCTAGGGGCCAAAACCAAATTTGGCTGTGCTCAGAAGTGACAATGAAGGTGATGATGATAAAATAATAACAGTTCAACATTTCTTGAGTACTTAGAGGTCAGGCGTGAAGAGCCTAAAAAATCTGTCCAACTGAACTCAGATCTGTTTGACTTCAGAGCCCACAGTGTTAGGTAGCACATTGTACCTCATGGAATTCTTAGCAATATCCAGAACAATCCCTTGTGAAAAATAGGCAGAGATATTACAACTGGGATCATACTGTTTTATAATCTGCTTTTTTTCACTTAATATACCACAGACATTTGCCAATCAATCAATTCTTCATAGCTGTGTATCATCCCATCATTTAGAAAATCCAGGGATTATTTCATTAAGAGAGTTTTCTCACATGTGGCCATTCCCTTCATTTAAACTAATGCATCAACTGGCTGGGCTCACAGTATTTGAAAAGTTGTTTGGAATAACTTCTCTTTCACCAAGTTATTTTGATTGCATTTATAACTATTTCTCTCCTCATTAAATAGGTAATATGACCCATTCCCCATACTGGCATCTAATTTTGGGGGGATGGTTCCATGTTAAAGTCACCAACACATCCTCTGAAGTGTCCCAATGAGCACATACAACAGAGTGTTTGTGCTATGCAAATGCTCAGGCTAAATTCTAAACTTATCTTCTATGGAGCCACATAAGAATTCATCAGATCTTTCGGGATCAAATGTCTTCCCCAAGAACATGCCCTGCACGTGTTTTTGTTTTCTCCAGCATGTGCCAGGCTTGGTCTGTAGTTACACGTGAAGGAAACCTGGAACCCAGGCACAGACTCTCCTCGGTTAATAACCACCTCCTGCCCCTACACCTCCAGGAAGTCACTAAGACCTCTCACCTAAAACCAAATGCCTCTACTATGGGGGCAAAAGAGCAAGGCACAGAACAGCAAAAAACAAACGACAGAGGAGAGAGAGAGAAAATGATGGAAGTGAATTTTCCAGAGAAATCTCTATGGCCGTCCAGATTGAGGGGAAAAAACACAGAAATGCAATGATAAAACCAATCAGTAGTAGAAAATGCACCGCAGGAAAAAATAAAGTGTAGAATGACCCTTCTTAAATTCATGGTACGACTGACAAAACTGGACTATGGACTGTAGATTAGATAAAAGTAATTGTATCAATAATAAAGTTTGTTTTATTATTGCAATAATAAAGAGCTTTTAACTGTAGCATGTGATGTGAAAGACTGTCCTTGTTCTTGCAAAATATACACTGAAATATTAAGGGACAGAGGGCATGATGTATGAGAGAGAAGGAGAGGGGAGGAAGAGAGAAAATGTGGCAAACACTACAATTTAGTGAATCTGATTGTAGGCTATCTAGAAATTCTTTGTACTATACTTGAAATTTTGAAATGTTCTGTTAGTTTGGAATATTTTGAACTAAAAAGTTAAAAAGAAAACCACCAACATGTAGAAATATTTATTTATCTTTCTATCTCTTCACTGACTCAGCAGGCCATGAGGATGTTTGTAAAATGACAGCCAGATGGGGGGAGTGTGGGATTAATGCGACCCAGGACTGAATTCCCTTCCACCCCACTGAAGGACTTGTCTATCTGCCTATGTTTCTGAGTCACATAAAAAGCAAGAATGTTGGCTTGTCAGCCTTTGGCCTCCTGCTGTTATTTGCACCTGACGTAAAGGTGTGTCACCTGCAGGCCAGCATGTGGTATATGGTGGCAGGCCGCCAAGTGAGCAGTGGCATGGATTTCCTTCACCAGGTACAGGGAAATACTGACAGGCAGGAGAGGTAGAGGGAGTTCAGACCACCACGGAGATGATCAGCTAGGGTGACATTCACCCTTCCTTCACAGTGTTTGCTGATGTGAGAGAATGGAACTTTTGACAGCCAGTAGCTGTCTTGCCTTTAATTTCAAGAGGTGGCCACGTAGTAACTGAGCGCCCACTATGCAAACTGTGCGCACCCCATCGCATTGGGGCGCACTATTATATCCACTGGAGGAGGGCAGGTGGTACGTGGTAGCAAGGGTCTTGCTGACTGCCTTGCATACCTCAGCTTCCACTCGTACATTGTTGACTTCTAACAATACTGCTTTAATCTGGAGATGACAGCAGCAGCACTTTCCTCTTAAATATACCAATTGTGACAAACAAACTAGGTTCTATATCAAACCGAGGCTACCCACTGTGGCTGATTACATCTTACATACACATGATACAAGGTCTGTATCTACCAGCAGCCCAGTGATAAACAAACCATGAACCATCACAACAAGAAAACCTAAAAAGGAAAAGGTGACCACAAGAATTTCCTGGACAGAAAGAAAAAGGCCAGCAGAGAGGCTCCCTGAGGCCTGTCATGGTCACATGGTGACAGTGGTCACCCTTTCCTTCTGTGGCCCAGCCCAGAGACCAACCCAGGGCCCCCTCCTCTGCTGCCTTCCTACCAAGAGCAAGGCCAGACTCACCTCTGGTACTGGGCTGTGAAAGTCAGATTCCCTTTGGGAAAAGCAGGAGACTCCCACTGCAGAATGTTCTTGAAATTAACTGAATTCATTCTGACATTTTCAGGAGGTGGCACCATTCCCAATGCTGTAAAAATAAAGGAAAAAAAAATTACAACTTTTTTCCTCAAAAAGGTAGCCCATGAAAATGACCACATGGAACACTTGGTTCTCCCCTCCCACTCCACCTCTTCAAAAACCACATGGATGAGGGAGGGAGAGAGAGGGAGACCTTAACTGTATGAGGAATCTGGATTTTATTTGAAGAGCCACAAGAAGACATTTGGAAAGCGGGGTGGTGGTGCCAGTAGTGACATGGGGACAGATGAAGGGGATTTGGATTTGGGTGGTGGTAGAAAGGTGTGAGGGGTAGATGGATTTTAGATGTATTTCCAAAAGTATAAACTCTGGATTTCCTGACACATTTGCTGTGGAAAAGTCAAAATTAACGTCCACTTCTGTCTTATGCGCCTGGTGCCCCGACTGGGACTGGGGCAGGGAGCTCACGAGTCCCCTTGTAGCTGCATTAGGTTGGAGATGCCGGAGAGACGCAGGTAGGGATGGATGTCAGAGGGACAGCTGGCTGAAAGACCCCAGAGGTCCACAGAAGACAGACCGGGGCTAGAGACAGAAATTATGTGTAAGCCTTTTAATAGAAAGTTCTAAACATACACACAGGTAGAGAGAGGAGTAAAATAAACCGCCTCCTATCACCCAACTGGTACCAATAGGGATTTGAGAGTATTGGCCCACAGCCGGTACTTAACGCCAGGGTTCTGCTGAAGTCCCCCAAGAACTGCCCAGGGGAAGGGGGGACAGGGCGGGGACACGCCCGCGGCGACGCACAGCTCTGGAAGGGAGGAGGACGCGAGTAGCAACAGCCTGCAAGGCAGCAGGGAAGCCAGAGCGCCGGGGCAGCCTTCCTCAGAAAGGACGGAGGGGGCCATCGTGAGGCGGACCCTGGGCGGTCAATTTAGAGGACAGAAAATGTTTCCTTGGATTTAGGACCGAGAAGCCACAGAGCTGGGCGCTGAGGGGCGAATTCGGATTTTAGGGCGCTGAGGCCTGAACGGGGAGGTGCGGGCAAGTGGAGACGGTGATGGAGACACTTAGACGCCCCGAGCTAGAGACGCCGGGAAGTCTCCCCCTCGGGCGCGGGCCGGGGCCTGCTCCCCGCAGGACCCCGGAGGCCCGTGTTCGCAGCCGACTGTGGGTTTGAATCTCCCTGGCGGCCCGACCCGGCGCGCAGCCGCTTTCCCGGCGCCCACGGGCGCCAGCAGGGGTCGCATCTCGCGGGGCCTCCGCGTTGCCGCCCGCGCCCTTCCCCGCGCGCGCGCGCGCCCCCCGCGGCCCCTCACCTGACGCCAGCAGGCAGCCGGCCAGCCAGCTCCGCAGGCCCCGCGCCATGGCTTCCGGGACCCGGGGGGGCGGGGCGGCCTGGGCCCCTGGCCCCGCCCCCGCCGCGGGCCCCGCCCCGGCCCGGTCCCCCAGTGCGGGTGCCGGGACCCCGCGCTCCAGCCCGGCGACCCGGAGGAGGTTAAACAAAGTTAAGTAAATACACTAAAACGCCACCCCAGGGGTGACTGCTGGGTGGTGGGGTCTTGGGCGGCGGCGGGTTTTCTTCAGACCACCCCGCACGCCCCAGGGTTTCCCCCGCCGCCGCCGGGCACGCCCCCGGACGCCCGGTCCCCGCGTCGGAGCTAACGGCGCCGGTCCGCGAGCCCAGTTTGAGCGCGTCTTCCTCACCCTCCCCTTCCCCAGCGAAGAACAACACCGAACTAGGTCGTTTGTTTCGCAATAACTCGTTTCTCCCGCGGGACTGCTGAGAAAGCTTTAATTTCCTCTTTTCAAACGTGATCAGCGGTGAGCTTGGAAAATCCAGAGCCGGCCGAGGTGTTGGGTAATGCACGCCACCGCCTGGGGTCTGGCCCGGGTACAGTCCCGGCGAGGCCAGCGGGGACCTCCCGGGTACCCTGCAGGCCACCCTGCACTCGGAGGGGGCGGGTGCACCCCTCGAGCTGCCGGCTCCAGCACGGTCTGCAGCAGACGTGCACTGGCTAATGAGGAACAACTCTGAAGACCACACCGAGGTTGTATGAAAAAGTATTTTTATATTACCCTTTGCCAGCCTCCAACCATTATACAAAATTTTTTAAAAATACACACACACACACACACACAGCCATAAAGAGATTATACAAAAATATCAATCTGGAAAATTTTCAGAATACAGTAGATGCATTCAGAGGGCAGAGAAAGGGACTGTGTATACAGCAAGATCTCTTTCCTATGGAATTCCTTTAGATCATTAAATAAGTGCTTCCCTCCTCATAGCCCTCTCCCTTTTGAGTTGCTTTAAAGCAATTACATAGATAATCTATTTAAAGTCCTTGAACTAGGACTGGTATTATTTTTTGTTTTCCCCTTTTGAATGGGCCTAGCAGAGAGGTCTGAGAGGGTTAGGGGAGTGAGACAGGAAGGTCTTCTACCTTTCATTCCTCCTTGGAGCCTCTCAGGGTGGCAGCACTTCCACCTGAGTCTTTATTCCTGTGTGTTTTCTAGTCTTTCTCCTAGATTCATAGGATCTTGGAGATTACCTAGGGTCACACTGTGAAATCACGACAGTCAGCTCTCTGAGTCTCAGTCCTTGTACTGTTTGCTACATGACATTCTAGAACCTCACTTTTTTTTTCTTCCTGATTCATAGGAACAGTAATCACATGTAGGACATTTGGAATCAGCACATAAAGCATTTTTAAAACTGTCATATGATGTCTGGGACTTGTATGTCATAATTCTTCTGAAGACTTGGAAGCACTTCTGCTTTTGTGCTTTTTTTTTTTTTTTAATCTTAAAATATGGCACCGGGATTTTATCCCTGTCCCCTGTGCAATGTTTCCTCTCTCCGGCAGTCACCTGCCTGGAGTCTGTCTTCCACACTCACACTGGGGAGGGCCAGATGAGGTGGAATTCTCAGAGTGGAGGAGACAGAATAAGACATAGGCGAGGTACCCAAGGGCCATTCGGGGAAACCATGGGAGCCCTTCTGTTCTCTCCAGCTGCTCTCCCGCCCCTCGGCCTCCTTGCCTGCCGGCTCTGCAGCTTTCCTTGAGCCTGCTGGGCTCCGTGGGCTGTACTTGCTAAACCCTGCTGGCTGCTGCTCTTAGGAATCCTGTCCAGTGTTTTCCTTTTCTTTCCCTGCTCCCACCCTGGCCCAATTTACTTCCCAGAAATACCACAGGGCCCTAAACCACCCCTGAAAACCACATGGAACCCTGCTTCCTGGGAAACATGTTGCACGTACATCATAAGTGCATCAGTGTGAAGGGGACGGCACAGATGTTCCCTTCAAAGTGCATCACTTTGAATATGTAAACAACGCACCCAATGACAACAGGTTCCTCATACTGGGGATTTGCATAGATGATGTCACCGGGAAGAAGGAGACATACTCCACAGTTTCCCACTCCTTCCCTCAGAGAACACTTGCAGACCACAAAGCAGCAAGTTAGGGTGCAAGGAGCGAGAACTCTGTAGCAACTTGTCCAAGTTCATGGAATAGTTGTGGAGTCATCTCATTATATAACCATCCCCGAAGTCAACATCTGACTCCGAAGTGTCGCTTTTATCAGATAGATCATCTTCGGGCCACAGGTGCTCTGAAGAGGGGCTGAGATGGGCTGGCTGCGTCCCTTCCCCAGTGGCCAGCAGCAGGCTTGATTCCCTTTCGTCTGCGTCCTCTGGGCCAACTGTCTCTTCTAGAAGAGCTGATAACATCAGAGGGTCTTCTGAGTTGTCACTGTCATCACTGTCGTCGAACCTCATGAGCACGGACTTTAAATCCACATTGAAGATGGTTCTGTCCCCAGACTGCTCAGTGGAGCTACTGTCCCCCTCGAGGAAGGGGTCTTGGAGGGGACTCTCTCTCCTCCCATAGGGCCCACTCATGTGTTCCAGCTGCCAGGGGCCATGCCCTGGCGTCGCGGGGGGCTCCGCGGCAGCCTCAGGGAGGTCAGGCTCTTCGCAGGAGTCTGGGTCTGTGAACTCTGCCTCCTCAGAGGCTGCGGAGGCCTGGCTCGGAGGCCTGACTGTTAGCCCGTGCATGGTGTAACCACCGGCGCTTGCTCTGGGGGCTGCTTTGTTATCATCATCACTCTCATCATCGTAATTGTAATCCCACACTTTCTTCTTCCTGTTGATGGAAATGACCTCCACCGTATCCAGGGCTTCCCACGGTGGCAGTTCGGGAAATATCCAGGCTGAAAAGTTATGAAAATTCTTAAAAAAAAACACAGAAAACCTGTATCAGCTGTGAGTGTTTGCTCTTGACATTTTACGTAATAAAACTTAATGAATTGGGTATGGTGGCTCACGCCTGTAGTCCCAGCCACGTGGGAGACTTCAGGGAGGACTGCTTGAACCCAGGAGTTTGAGGCCTCAGTGCACTATGACGGCACCTGTGAATAGCCACTGGACTCTGGCCTGGACAACATAGCAAGACCCTGGTTCTAAAAAAAAAATTAATTAATTATAAAAATTAAAAAGTAAAATAAATTAAAAAAACTTAATGAGATTGACTGGACAATGATGCAGATGATGATGATGATGACAACAATAATCACATCTAATAGTTACACAGTGTGTATAATCTGCCAGGTGCTACTTTTAGTGCTTTATACATAATTCACTTGACCCTCACAGCTGCTCTATGAAGTAGGCTTACTATTCTTATGCCCCCTCTACATATGAGAAAATGAGGTGCAGAGAGGTTGAGAAACTTGCTCTCGGTTCATGACAGCTGGATTTCACACCAGGATGGTGCCTGACCAGAGAGACTATTCTGACTCACCCCTGCCCACTTCCTCTTCCTCGGGTGCTTCTTGCCTGTTGGAGGAATCTATCTATTTAGGCTGGACAGATTTCAATTCTGGATTGCCAAAACATTCTTCAGTGGGGTCAGGGAACTGTGGGTGAGGGAAGAATCTAGGGAACTGATTCTATTGGGGGATAAAGGCCCAGGGAAATAATAATATGCACTCTCTGGTTTAGAGGACCGTAACAATGCAGATGGCCCCTAAAGGGTCAGGCATGGGGGAGCAGGGAGACTGAAGCCTGTTCTATCCCAGCCCTGGGAAGAAAACACCTCTAGGACCCAGAATAGGAGGTGGGCTGAGTTCCCCACTGCTGGAGGGTCCTGTTGTTGAATTGACTTTAATGGGACGACCAGTGAGAAGGGGGGGGGTCACAAGGATTTTCTCACAGACCTAGAATCCTCACTGGCATGGTTCTCCTCTCTGCCCTCCTGTACCTGCACAGGCTGCCCAATCTGTTAAACCTGCCCTTCCCATACTCTAGCCAGACCCAGCCTTGGGGTGAATTTTTCTACTGGGTGGTTCATCTTTTTTCTTATGGATTCATAGGTGTTCTTTATATAATTGGTAGGCTAATTCTTTGTCAATTACTTAGGTAACATAGATTTCTCCCCAGTCTGTGGCTTGTCATTTTATTCTCCTTAGGATGACAGTTGGTGAAAAGAAATCTTTAATTTTAGTGTAAGAAAACTTATCAATTTTATTCTGTTATGGATTTTGCTTTTTGCACCTGAATCGTCCTTACCCCAAAGTCATACAGAATCTCCCATATTGCCTTCTAAAACGTTAACAGTTTTTACTTTCACATTACAGTCTTTGATTTACCTGCAACTGATTTTTGTGTATGGTGTAAGGTAGGGATCCAATGTCATTTCTCCCTGTATAGATGACGTTTATTGACCACCTTTTCCTTTTCTCACTAATCTACAACACCCACTCTGTCATTATTCATGTTTCCATATGTGTGAGTCTATTTCTGGGCACACATTTGATAAGGTCTTTATTAATGCTTTCCAATAAGACTTGATAATGCAAGCATTTTATTTTGGATACAGGGTCTTGCTCTGTTGCCCAGGCTATAGTACAGTGGCATGATCATAGCTCACTGTATCCTCAAACTCCTGGGCTCCAGGGATCCTCCCTCCTTAGCACCTTGAGTAGCTAGGACTACAGGTATGTGCCACCATGCCAAGCTAGTTAAAAAAAAAAATGTTTATAGGGGTCTTGCTATGTTGCCCAACCTGGTCGCAAACTCCTGGTCTCAAGTGTTCCCCGGGCCCTGGCCTCCCAAAGTGCTGGGATGACAGGCATGAGCCGCTTCACTTGGCCATAAAAATGTAAGCACTTTTATTGATTTTGTATACAACAAGTTTGCTAAACTTATTCATTCTAGTAATTTACGTATTTTAACATCTATTGCTGCTTAAACACACATAAACAAACACACTAGACCTAGAGTGTTTTGTTTCCATATTCTAGAGTTTTTACTTAAACATAGTGTAACAATTTTTCATGGAGAAATACTAGACAGACACAAGACAACACCATGATAAGAAGAGTGCAATTTTATCAACAGTGGAGGGATATTTAATTATAGTCTCCCAATTGAAGAAAGTAGGAGAATAATGTGAATGGGTTCAAACATAGAAAAATAATATACTTCTGGATGAAATATTACAAAACAAATATAAAAAGCAAGCAATGGGATAGGAATAACGATCCATGATGGGCAAAAGCAGTTGAGTCAAAAGACATAGAAGTTTCCAGAAACATACAAGATCAGTTCCCAGACTGGGCTGAGTAAAGGCTCTGGGGAGAAGCACAAAGAAGAAAGGAAGACAAGTGACGGCTGTTCTCACTAATAACAAAAATAACGCAAATGAGAGAAACTGTGAGGGATCGTTATACACATGATAATGGACCAAAGAAGTAAAAATGATTAATTAATGATAGTGGAGCTCTGGAGAAATATGTGCACCAATACATTGCCACTGACAATTACAATTCAGTTCTTTTTTTTTTTTTTTTTTTTTTTTACTCCTTGTACTATTAGCAGAGAATACAAATCAGTTCTTTATAATATCTTTTTGTAAGGTAAATCTCCTTTGTGTATATGTTCCACTGAAGTAATACAAAATAAAAAGATAATCTATATAAAAATTTTTATTGCATTATTCATAATGACCTAAGAAAGAAAAGGAAAAGAAATGAAAAAGAAATCAGTCCAAACGCTCTATAGCTAAGAAATGGTTAAGCAAAAAATAGTACATTAATAGTAATGAAATTCTATATGATCATTTTGAATAATAGGTGGAAAAGTATAAAAAGAAAACAGAAAATGCACCGATATACTTATAATGGCAAAATATATGTATATAGGGATGGAAAAGAATCCGGAACCTTGGTGTTTTAGAAAATGAGATTTTCTTCTGTGAAAATATTGAGGTATATAACAAAAATTCTTAAGTTAAAATTAAAAAGATACAAATAATAAAAAAAAGCTACATACCAAAACTCTGGGAAATTTTTTTCTTAGGCATATGTAGCCAATCCATTTCAGTACTATTATGGTGCTGGTCAAGATCACTGCTATCAAAAATATGGTAATTATTCCTCCTATTTTGCCAGATTCTGATGGATCTGCAGATGAAAAATTAAGTGACTTTATTTCAAAAGAAATCCAATAAATGATCACAAAAGGGAATATAAGCACATTGGTCTGGTGTTAGACGGTGATATCAAGAAAGCAAAAGTTTGAAAAAAAAGTTTTGTGTTACTGAATACCAAAGAATGGAGAGTAATCCAAGTGTGTATATTTTAAACAATAAAATAGATTTAGCTTTTTTTTTTTTCTTTCACAGTTCATTCAGCATCAGAAAGATTTAGCTTTTAAAAGTACAATTGTTTTCAGCTTGTGTTGTATAACTGTACTGTCCAATACAGTAGCCCAGGCATCCTCAAACTACAGCGGGAGGGCCACATGCGGCCCCGCTGAGGACATTTATCCTGCCCCCTGGGTGTTTTTGCCATTGCTGCCTGTCCTACTTAACAGCTGACTCGTCCCGGGCCCACAGTGCGCATGTGTGTAATGTGCACCGCACTCTCCAACGGCCCTCCAGTGGTCTGAGGGACAGTGAACTGGCCCCCTGTTTAAAAAGTTTGAGGACCCCTGCAGTAGCCAGTAGTGGTGGCTGCTTGAATTTAAATGAACAGAATTAAATATAATTAAGAGCTCAGTCTCTCAGTCCTAGGAGCACATCCCAATGCTCGGCAGCCACATGTCAGCATGCACACGGGCAGGAAGAGGAAAAGGAGAGTCAGCCTGAGTAAAACCAACTGGCCCATTCTGGGGCTGGACTTCGGCGGTGCCAGGGCCCCAGATCAGGGCTCTGCTGAACCCACCTTGCTCTGTTAACAGTTCCCTTGGTTTCTTGCCAAAATTCCTTTTGGACAATTCCAACTTTCTGACCGAACATAGCTTTTTTCCTTAAGTCTGATTGGACTGAGAAGAAATCAGTAGTGACTGTAACTAAGGCTGTAACTAAGACTGTAACTAAGGCTCTCTTAAATTTCCAGAAAGACCTTTATTAATATTAATCTTGTAAACAAAGCCTCAGGCAAAACAGACAGAGGGGACAAAAAAGGAAATAAAAATGGATCGCATACTTTAAGTCTTTCAGAAGGTTAAAGAATGAATGGGAAGGAACTCGGGTAAGGCCCTTGCACTGCTAGATAGCACAGGATTCACGAAGCCACTCTCATCCTCACTGAGTGTGCATGAGGGATTGTCATGTCAGTGACGGTTCTACACTCAGATCTAGCCCCAAAGGCTTACCTTTATGATACAAAGGTATTACACGTATAGAGTTTACATTCCTGAAAAGGATACTGTAAACCAAAATGATTACATTGGCGACGCAATGGCACAATACTGAGATTCTGACTCGTCTACCCATCCAGTTTTCAGAGACTAGCCACAAGGTACCGTCGTCTGTCATCTATTTAATAGGACATCCTACAAATCAGATTATGTAAACTGTAGTTAATAGACTAGGGATAATACTTCTCAATTCGGGGTATTCTCATGCGTCCTGAGAGTTCTTTATGAGAACTTAATATTTTTGTTTTTAGCTTGATGACAAATTATGCATGCATGCTACTTTTAAACATTCCTGTTTGAAAAAAGATGAATTCTGCCAGCGTTCCTCCTCAGAAAGGAGAAATTGTCATTAGATGTCATTGCTGTTATCCACCTTCTTCTTTGAAGATGAGTCAGATCAAGTCATCTTGAAAAGGGGAGACCAGGTCGTGTCTTTAAAATTTGGCTTTGGACACACCTGTCTTTCTCCAGACTCACTTTTGAGACTTTTTAAACAAAACACAAGGGACCTCACAAGCAGGGGGCTGAGCTAAGCAATAGGGGGTTGGTAATATCTGATTACAAATTACCTTTAATGGAAAAGAAAAAGGACTTTGTCAAAAGATTGGTGATGATTAACATCAGTCTCCTGGGGCTCCTCCCCTGTCACCCCTCTGGACCAAGCATTGCCACCTCCCACCTAGACTACTGCGGCATCAGCCCCGCCCTGGCTCCCACCTCATGGCATCTAGATGCTCCTTTTATATCCTAAGTCTGATCACAAGGAGGCAACCTGCTCACCACCCTCTGAGGGGGCCCTGTCTCTTACAATGGCTCCTAAAGTCCTACCTCATCTAAGGTCCTGCACCCTACTCTGACCCAAACTGTTACTATTCTTCCCCTGCCCTCCCGTGCCAGGCATAACGCTGCCTCAAGGCCTTGGCACTCGCTGGAGCCTCCATGTGGAACTCTCGCCCCATGTCTGCGGTGACTCACTCCTCACCTCCTGCATTAGTTTCCCATTGCTACGGTAACAAATGACCATAGAATTAGTGCCATAAAACACTGCAAATATATTATCTTACAGTTCTGGCGGTCAGAGGTCCAAAATGGGTTTCACTGGGATAAAAATCAAGGTGTTGGCAGGACTGCATTCCTTCTGGAGGCTCTAGGGGAAAACCTATTTCCTTTTCTGGCTTCTAGAGGCCGCTGGCATTCCTTGGCTCGTGGAAAAGTGACAGTAGTATAGCATCTCCGAGTCACACCCTCTGAGCCCTGCTGCTGTTGTCGCGGCTCCTTCTCTGACTCTGAGCCTCCTGCCCCTTCCTTTCCTTTAGGAGGACCTTTGTGCTTGCACTGGGCCCGCCTGGGTGATCCAGGATCATCTCCTCATCTCAGGATCCTCAACTGAATCACAGCCGCAAAGCTCCTTCGCCATGCACGCAGCCTGTCACACCTATGGGATTAGGATGCGGACATCTTTGGGGAGCTATTATTCTGCTTACCACATACCCCCTGGGTCTTTATTCGAATGTTACTGTCTCGGTTGGGGGGGGTCTCCCTGGCCATCTGTGGTGGCTGCTGCAGGTGTCCTGCCATGTCCTCCTTACCAGTGTGCACTCCAAGGCCGCCGCACCTGTTGGGCGATACATCTCGGAGCTGATCCTTCTCTCAGGAACGTCCCTTGGCCAAAGCGGGGCTGCCTCACCTGGAGGCCATGCCAAAGATCGCCTCCGCTAACTGACTGGCTGGCTGACTGGGGGGACAGTCCATGCTCCAGAGAACCCCCTGGGATCAGCTTCAAGTGAGGCTCAGGTGGGACCACACCGTGGCTTAGTTAATTTCTCTCCCCGTCCCTACCTGTTCCCTCATTCTCCCTCTCCAGATTCCGCACCCTCTTCCCCCGCCCCAAATGCATCATGCTAGTATAAGAACCTCTCCCCGGGCTCTGCTTCCAGGGAATGTGAACCAAGACACTGCCCTACTTAAAACAGCGACCCACCCCCTCTGCCTCACACGCCCCTCACCTCCCTTCCTGCTTACATTTTCTCCGTGGCACTTACTGTCACTTACCGTACTGTATATTTTACTTTTTTATCTTGTTATGCTGCCTCCTACTGAAATGCACGCTTCACAGGGTCAGGGATTTTCATCTATTTTGTTCACTGCTATCTCCCCAGTAACAAGAACAGAAACTGGCTCATAGTAGCCCCCCACTAAACATCCATCAATGAATGAATAGAGCTTTCCTTCCCACAGGGCCTTACTAAAACGAGCCAACCAATTAATTTTCAGGGCTTGGCAAGGGGAAGGCATTTCTCCAGATCTCTGGGCTAAAATCCTCCCATGCCAGTCTGCCCAGAGCTGCAGGGTTCACTGCTGAGCCCACGCTAAGGCCGGTGAACCTTAGCCCACGCTAAGGCCGTGCTGCCCTTCAAAGGCCCCTCACCATCCCAACCCATCTGGCTCCTGAGTTGGCTAGTGGAGGGCATATCACATGGCAAGGGGGCATCGAGAGAACCTATTTGGTTCCTGCGTTTCCGACAACAACAATCCAGACACCATGTACGGTATGCAGATAGTTAGTCCTGGGTAATGATCAAAGAGTGGAGGCTGACAACATGCAAGTACGGTTGGAATGATCTGGCAGCATGCTGTTGCCTGAGCATCTCTCAGAGGGTGAAACGGAGAAGGGTCAGGGGAGAAAGTGAGGCACCTCAGGGCGTGTCCACCTCGGAAGAGCCTGTGCCTTCTCAGCAGCAACACCTTCACCTTGGAGGTGGGGACGGAGTGTCAGTTTCATCATCACTCTGACATGTTATGAATTTGAGTTTTTATTGTACACATGAGTTTGGTTCCTGGCACAGCGTTTCGAAAACGTGTGGAATCCTCTGAGTGATCGGAGTGTCTTTTGTTCTTCCTAACGAGTCCCTTTTGGGGACCCTATCATCTGACAATGAGGTGCCATCAGAGTGTGGACAGACAGCCTCAGAATGAGGGTTGGTCACTAGAAAAACCAGCTCCACAATTAGAGGGTTGGAAGTTCCAACTCCGCCCCCAACCTCCAAGGAGGGGAGCGAGGCTGGAGATTGAGTTCAATCCTGTGGCCATGATTTAATCAATCACACCTACATAATGAAGCCCAATAAAGACTCTGAACACCAAGGCTTGGGGAACCTCCAGGTTGGTGAACATATAAATGCGTGGGATGGTGGTGCACCCCAAATCCACAGGGACAGAAGCTCCTGCACTAGGGACCCTTCCCCTTCCAGACCTTGTCCTATGTACCTCTTCATTGGGTTGTTCATTTGTATCTTTGATAATAAAATTGTTAGATTTAGCAATCTCGTTCTGTGTTCTCGGGTCTTGGTGTGCTCATGGCCAAAGAACAAACAAATGCACCAGAGGGAGGCAAGCACAAAAACAAGGTTTATTGAGGAGAGAAATACAGGATTACGGAGCAAGAGCAAGACAGAGATTTACAAAGCGTGATACATATGCCACAGATGACAACCGGACCCCTTGTCACAGCGGAAAAAGAGAGCTTGGTTATGGTCTGGGTCTTGTCTAAGGTGTCCGGAGAGGAACCTCCTCATGGTTCAAATGTCACCATGGAACCACTTTGATTGAACAGTTGGGAGTTATATGACCTGAATCTTACCGCGCATGCAGATTTCTTAAGAACACGGGATGAGATTGCTAAATCTAACAAAATGGTAATCGTAAGTATAGCACTTTCCTGAGTTCTGTGCGTCATCTTAGCAAATTACTGAACCTGAAGAGAGGTCGTGGGAACTCCTGACTTTGTAGCCGAATGAGACAGAAATGTGGGTGACCTTGGGACCCAGGACTTGTGGCGGGCATCTGAAGTGAGGGGCAGTCTTGTGGGACTGAGCCTGGAACCTGTGGGGCCTGTGCTAACTTCAGGTACTGTCAGAAATAAACTGAATTGTTAGAGATGAGTTAGTGTCATAGAATTGGTGTTAGGACATAAATATGTACATTTATTTGGGGTTTATGTTTTTTAAAGAGCTATGGACAGACCGAATCTATATGCAGTTTCAGTTTTGCCTCATGTATTTAATTGAAATTATAAAAATAACTCAAGCTACAGGTCTGAGATATTTTTTTTTTTCCTTTAAAATCAGTCTCTGCATCATTTGGCTTTGAGGAACACCGGAGAATCAGATCATACCTCCCGTGGTTAGAGCTAACATCAGGCACTCGTCTATGCTGGGCAACATCTCATGGAGCTCACTTAATTCACAAATAACCATATCCCTTAAAAGTCATTTCCTTGTAAATCTTATTTTTATTCTGGTAAATCAGAAGATGAAAGAAGCTTCCATTGGGGTTGGGAAATTTAGAAAGGCTTCTTTGAGGGTGATTTTCATAGGTTTTCACTTTTGATAAAACAGGTGGAGAGACCTAGTTACTTCCTGAGGAAGTCACCAGCAGGGAAGTTTCTCAGTTGGACTGTTCTCGATGCACATTTCTCCACACGGGAGGGAGGGTTGGGGCCACACTGTTGACTGTCCTGCTGTCTTTGCAACAGAGGGGCTTTCAGCCTTCACTCGTGACTGTCTCATCTGCGCTGACAAGGTGCCCTTTCATCGGTGAGCTAGAGCAGATAGAGCTGGGCCACACGTGGGAACCACACCCAAGCTTGCCATCATCCTGTCACCCTCTGACACAGTGCAGTCAAGTGCTGCGGGCAGCTCCCCGCCTCTTCCAGCATTGGGCTCAAACAATGGCCGGCTAAGGGCACACAGCACTGAATTCAATCCTGATCCCCTGAAATAAAAGCATTTCCATTTCTAGAAGAGTTGTGACCTTATAAAGGGAGATATCCGATTGTCCCTATGGTAGGATACTATCAGAGTGACTCTACCACTCGCTGGTAGAGACTGACCGACAGAAAACATGTCATTGGAAGAAATACATTTAGCACCCCACGGATTTCAGATTCTTCTCTTTAAACAAGTTTTCCCTCAGAGTATAAAAGCATGGATTTTTAAAAAACGAACATACCTGATTCCTGGCCAGGTTGAAGGAAGGTGCACTTTAAGGGAGATTGTACTGCTGTTGCCTGGTCTGCAGACTCAAAATAAACAGACACACAGTGGTTTGTGTTTGGAATTAAGTTGTCGATGACATAGGTGAAATTTCCACTCATGTTTTTTTTCATTTTGAGTACATGCTGTAAAAATAAGCAAAAAGTGAGTAAGACTCTGAATGAGAATTTCATTTAGAAGCGGGCCCTGAGAGTCTCTTCGGGGATTTGTCTTCAAATATTAAACAGGTTAGAATATCACAGGGTTGGCAAGAAGAAGGATTAGAAGTCACCCGGGGAGAGCAATTTATCACAAGACTACACGTGCGTGTATTCATATACACACATGTTTGCAACCTTGAAATCAAGTCTAGCAATTTCATCTCACAAATGAGGAAAAAGGTCCCCAAGAGGAATAATCTTTGTGATGTCAAGATTATCTTGTCTCATTGACAACGTATGCCTACTTTACACTTGAGAAAGTGCTTTCGTGCGTATTAACTCCTTTGACTTTGAAAACGGTCTGGAAAGTAGGCTTTAGCTCCATTCCACAGGTAAGAAAACTGCAGCTCAGAGTGGCTAAGTAACTTCTCCAAGGCCGCACAGCGTGTCTGTGACAGAACTGAGGCCGATGTCTGGTTTTCTGTTTTCTCCCTTGAAACACCTTGTCCCTTCTTTCCCATGTAGTTGGGTTCCGTTTCGGAATTAAAAAGATGATAGATGAAGGTTCTTCCATGAGTAACAACTTTTGTACCATCTCTTACAGTTCTCAAAATACATTCTTACTAGCAGTTTTATAGAGGAGGATTCCTAGCAGTTCAAAGACAGCCTTCTGTAACAACGCTGTTCTGGAAGTTTCTGTCTGGAAGGAGGAGGAGTCACTAAGCAAGCAAACAAACAACTCAACAAACTAAAAGCTTCTCTTCCAGTGGCCACCACATATCCCTCCTTCCTTCCATACACAATCTCCTTAGCGAGCTCACCCCTCTGTCTCCAACTTTCATCCTCTTTTTCTTGAATCTATTCCAACCACGTCTTTGCCCTATGACTCCACCAAAAATACTTTTATCAAGGGCACAGTGACTGCCATGGTGCTAAATCCAATAATCAGGCCTCTTCTAACTTGTCCCATTCACAGCACTGGACTCAGTAGATCATTTTCTCCTTCTGGAACTTTCTTCTCTCAGCTACTGGGACATCACTCTCACCTGTTTTTTTCCCTCCTACGATGCTAGTTGCTCCTTCTTAGTCTGTTTTTGCTGCTTCTTCCTCATTTGCCAGATCTCCAAATTTTGGAATGTTCCTGGACATCTTCTCTTCTCACTGCATGCCCACTCCCAGGGGATCTCATCGGGTCTCAAGGCATTTGACACAGACCAAGAAGCCAATGACTCCCCAGGACATATCTCCAGCTGGGAGTTCTCGCCTGAATTCCAGACTTGGTACATCCAACCCCTGCCCAGCATCTCCTCCTAGATGCCTTCCTTATAGGCGCCTCAAATTCATTGTGTCCAAACCTGAGCTGCTATCCAACTCCCGCCTGCTTCGTCCATACATCTTCCCTGTTTTAGTTAACGGCAACTCCAACTTCTCTCTTTCTCCACCACACCACACATCTAATCTGTCTGAAAATACCATCGTCTCCACATGCAAAATACGTGCAGAATCTGAGGGCTTCTCACTACCCTCTCAACCTCCAAGTGGTCCAAGCCACCACCATCTGTTGCCTGGATGATACCAATAGCCTGGGTTTTTTTCTTATACGATGGTTTTTTGTTGTTGTTTTTTTTTTGAGACAGAGTCTTGCTTTGTTGCCCAGGCTAGAGTGAATGCTGTGACATCAGCCTAGCTCACAGCAACCTCAAACTCCTGGGCTCAAGCGATCCTCCTGTAGTAGCTGGGACTACAGGCATGCGCCACCATGCCCGGCTAATTTTTTCTATATATATTAGAAAATTTTTTCTATATATATAGGCCAATTAATTTCTTTCTATTTATAGTAGAGATGGGGTCTCACTCTTGCAGACCTGAACTCCTGACCTTGAGCAATCTGCCCGCCTCGGCCTCCCAGAGTGCTAAGATTACAGGCGTGAGCCACCGCGCCTGGCCTGGTTTTTTTTCTTAATTTAACTAAGACTAATTTTCTTTTATGAAGATGATGCCTATAAACTACAGTCTTTCTCTTACAGAGTTGTCAATATCCTAATAAACATAGGATATATATTTTACAAATCATAATCTAAAACATAGTAGCTTATGTGTTGAACACCAATGGGACATGATTGAAATATGATATCTAATGATACTTGACACAGTCCCTGACTCACATAAACCTATTTTCCTCTATGATTTTTGTTTCCTTTTCCTAGAGGGTTGATTATAATCCATGTGAATATTAAAGAAAAAATTATAATAGGCACATAATTTGCCTATTAAGTGACTACCATCCTAACAGTGTCTTCGTCACTCCATTCCATCTACCTCTCCCCTCTTTTTTCTCAAATTCATGGGCCCACTCCAGCCTCAGGGCCTTTGAACTTCCTGTGCCCTCTGTCTGAAATGCCTCTGCCCTGATATCTTGCAGGCTGGTGTTTCTTGCAAGGGTTTTATAATTGGCAAAGGGTGCTGCAAACATAAGCTGCAGTTCCAGAAGGGTCGGTCCACTGCTGAGTGCGGACTGTCCCTTTTCGCTTTATCCAGCATTCTGAGCGACAGACACAACAAAAATTGAAGATCCAGGTCTGTCTGACACCAGGGTTACGCTGAGGTTACTGGCAGTCAGTCAGGTCCTTTGCGGAAATCCGGAGAGGCTAGAACTTTGGGAAGGCGCCACTTCCCTGCCGGTGTAAGACGGGAGAGGCAGAGACAGATGCTTTTCCTGTATGGCTCAGCTAAAACACGCGTTTCAAAGACGTCTCGAACCTTGGCTTGCTGAAATCTACGCTACACATCTCTCTCCTGTGTGTGTCCCTTGGTGATGCGCACATGGCTTATTCTCTTAAAGAAGACTGAACTATAGAGAGTTCCGTCCTAAAATCAGACCTTGTAGTTTTAACTGTTCAACTACTAGTTTCTTTTTTCAAAAGAGAGAGTCGACTGTGTTTGCTTTCAACTCAGAACTGTTTTGATCCTAACACTAAAGACAACTTACCTTCTTCACAATCCCCTCTGACTCTTCTTCAATGACCAGTGATAAATCGAACTGCAATCCTTCCACAATGTCAGATGGAAATTTTACCATCACACTGATGTGGTCTGTGAAGCCAGCAATCTCAAACTCTGGCGGTTCTAAAGATACTGTTTAGAAAAACAAAGTCAGACACAAACCCCAAGGTCAGTCAATGATTGCATAACGGTGCCTCCCGTTATGATACGACCTTACTTCTTTTAAAGAAAAGCTATTTTCTTTTTAATCTGCCCACGATCCTAGTTGTGGCGTGTGTTCTTTTTATTCTGTTGGTGAAAAACTGAGAATAAAATAAGTGAAGTGATTTGTTTCACATTACTACAGGGAAAACAAGAATACATTTTGGAACAGAAGCCAGTAACTTTCCTAATTTTCAGGCTATATATTCTTAATACTAAATTAAAAATGACTTATTTTCATATTATAATAATAATACATAATCATTGCAGAAATATCAGAAAATATAGACAATTGTCTCTGAATGTGGTTAATTATATTTTGTCTATGCTGTATGTGTATATATACATATACACACATATAAACTAAACTTGTGTTAATATATGTATATACACACATCTACAAATATGCACACACACACACACATATATAAACTAAAATTAAGTCAGTCTAACTCACACTGTTTTGCATGGTATATATTTTCACTTAACTATATTTCATATACATATCAATACATATCTAGCTACATCAAGAGCTGATAAACTATGGCTTATGGTCTGTGGACTTTTGCCCCACCTGCAAATTCAGAATGGTCTTTATTTTTTTAAGAGTTTAAAAAAATGAAGAGGAATATATGACAGAGATCACAGGTTGGCCACAAAGTCTAAAAATGGCCTTCTCTGGCCTTTTATAGAAAGTCTGCCAACTTCTGATGTTTACATCATAGTTTTTCAAGGCTAATTCTATTCCACTAAGTGGCTGTACCAAGGTTTAACTGATTCACTGCTTTGAACAGTTAATTGTCTCTATTTTTTCTGAAAAGACTCAATGTATCATTGAGTATTCTTATAGCTAAATCTTTCCATTTGTCCTTAATCATTTCTTTAGGACAAATTACTAAAAAGGAATTCTGGATTAGAGTAGGCCTATGTTAAGGTTTTTAATACAAACTGTCAAATATCTTCAGAAGGACTGCACCAAAGCATGTTCTCTGTATTGCCTTTAAATCTGAGTATTGATGTATTTTTCATATTTGGCATTTGAGTCATGAAAAATATCTCATTGTTATGTTAATATAGATTGTTTAATGACCCAAATACCATGACCTATATATTGTACTTTTCTTTCTCTTCTATGTATACACACAGATATGTCAGTTCATCCACATACACAAACATGCACACGATTCTGGCAACACTTATATCTAAACACTTATATTTGCCACAGCGGGGTTCAGTCATCATTACCACTTTGCTAAGTGTGTGTGTGTGTGTGTGTGTGTGTGTGTACACCCACACAGCCATAGCAGGAAGCTGAACCTGAATAGATCTTCTGGAAACTGCTTTGTGAATTGGGAAATGAAAAAGCAACGGAGCTAGAGCTGTTTATATAATTGCCTTGGGGAGCTGACCCCAGTCACAGGGAAAGAAAGAAGGGGCAGACCCACTTTTGGGGTCTGGTCTTCTCCTCTGAGCTTTGGGCTGTAGGTGCCTGTCCATGTGGGTGTTCACACGTACAAGAGCTGCTGCACTACCATCTGGGGGTGGAGTTGCTGTATTAAGAAAAACACCGCCTTCGTAGGGAAAGGCAAAGATATATGATGTTACCCAAAGGTCAAAAAAAGGAAAAAAAAAAACAAAAACAAAACTTTTATCTGGTGGTGGGCAGATGGGAGGGAGGAGGAGGGGAAGGATATATATGTACAAAATAGGTGCGATGCGCACCACCTGGGGGTAGGACATGCTTGATGCTTTGGTAAGGCGGGGGGTGGGGGAGGAATGGCAGGGGCAATATATGTAACCCTAACAATATTTGTACCCCCATAATATGATAAAATAAAAGGAAAAAAAATGTATGAGACCAAAAAAAAAAAAAAAAAAGAAAAAGAAAAGAAAAACACCGGCCCAAAGAGATGAGATGGCTAATGACACCTAAACCCAGCTCCCCCACTTCCTTTTGGGGTATAAAACAGAAAAATAGCAGCTATGACTGTCTGAATGCCTGCCTTATACAGGCATTGAGCATATCTGCAAAGAACAGATTATTATTCCACTTTTCAGATAAAAAAAACTGAGGCTCAGGGAAGCAAAGTAACTAGTCCACGGTTCCAGGACCAGGAAGTGGCAGGGCCAGGAGGTGAGCCTAGCTAGCCCTGAGTCTCAAACACCTTCCTGTCTCATGGCAGAGCAAATGATGATCTTGACAATAAGGATGAAGGTGAGAAACAAGAGATCAACTCACTATCGATGGCCGGCAAGAAATCCTTCGTACAATGGACGAGCAACGTGCTCCCTCTGAATCCTTCGACTTTTATAATGTGGACCTCGTGTATGTTTTTCCACACACGTGTGAGGTCACAAAATGATCGTGTGGTATTTACACAGCCCTCAACAGTCTTCATAGCTTCGTTTCTACTTTGGAAAGAAAAGACATCGGAAAAGGAAAATGTCAGCATTTATGTAACGGTAATCGGTTTTCTGGGTGCCTCACTTCCTTATTTCCTTCAGGGTTCTGCTCAAATATCACTACATCAAACCGTCTTCCTTATTCACCTTATTTAAAATGGGACATCCTATACCCTCCCCGCCCCTGCACGCTCAATCCCTCTTACCCTTCATTTTTCTCCATAGCGTTTACCTGCACCTGCCATAATCTGCCTTCATTTGTTTGCTGATGTCTCTACCTACTTTCAGAATGTCCACTCCAGGAGGGCAGGGATTTTAGTTCACAGTTGGATGCCCTGGCATGTAGGAGGTGCTCAGTTAATATCTGCTGGATGAATGAATGAATGAAACTTGGGCTTTCATGGTAGAGGCCTTAGATCTCCCTCCTACTACTGAACAATCATGAATGCCTTCCCTGAGATCCTCTCTCTCTCTGGCTAAGATTACACGATCCAGTCTTAAGTCGGTCCTGGGTAGACATCTGACCTACCGAGCTTCAGAGAGGTGGGGGGGGGGGATACATGTGACCACTTCAAGCAGAGTGAAACTTTAAGACTTTGCAGCAGGCACTGAAGAGAAACCCACAAAAGACCCTCCACTGGCTCAGGCAGCAGCAGCAGCAGCAGCAACAGCTATCTGCCAAATAAATAACTCACAAAAGGACACTCCAAGGGGCAACCCGATCAAAGTAATGACTTAGGAGAGTGACTGTTAGACATGGAAGAAGAGAGTCAAAGAAGGCTCCACGACGTCCAATCCTTGCGGCAACCCTTCAGTGGAGGCATTAGCTCAAAAGGCCGAACTCTGTGCCAGGCGGCAGGCTGGCTAGTCACCAAACCAGACTTTGGAACCAAGCCTGTCCTACACTGGGACAGACAGCTTTCTGGTGTCCCACCAGACTAAAGAAACTGAACATAAACAATAAACATGGTCAACAGACCTTTGTACTCCGGTCCTTAGAAAACATAGGATTTTTAAACATTCAGATTGACTGACTTAGGAAAATCGTTGTAAAAACCATAGGCAATAATTATTTTGTTTGTGAGGTTTTGACCTGTAGGAATCGGCTTTGATTATAAATACAAGCTTTGTCAAAAAGAACTCTGGATTATTAAAACATTCAATTTTAATTAAAAATGGACGGGTATTTTGTCTTTGGCCTTTTAAGAATCTAAATAAAGAACAGAGAAAGAGAGAGTGAGAGATATCACCTTTCCCCCCACTCCCCACAGAATAGAATGATAACGTGGTCACCAACAGAAAAATGAAATGTCAAACCAACCTCATGACTGTGTACAATGATGTATAGTGAGTTGGTACAACAGAATGGTTTTTAAATTCCCATGATAAGATCGACTGGAAATTTTGTAGCGTTATTTTTAAAACACAAGGTTCATCTGAAGAATCTAAAGAGAAGAGAAGGGAAGAAAACACATTAAAACGTAAAGCCGGCCAGGCGCAGTGGCTCACGCCTGCAATCCTAGCACTCTGGGAGGCCGAGGCAGGTGGATTGCTCAAGGTCAGGAGTTCGAAACCAGCCTGAGCGAGACCCCGTCTCTACTAAAAATAGGAAGAAACTAATTGACCAACTAAAAATATATATACAAAAAATTAGCCGGGCATGGTGGCGCATGCCTGTAGTCCCAGCTACTCAGGAGGCTGAGGCAGGAGGATTGCTTGAGCCCAGGAGTTTGAGGTTGCTGTGAGCTAGGCTGATGCCACGGCACTCACTCTAGCTTGGGCAACAAAGTGAGACTCTGTCTCAAAATAAAATAAAATAAAATAAAAAATAAAACGTAAAGCCCAAGGTTGTATTCTGGCCACTGTCAATCATCTGTTGGGATCCAGGGCTCTCACATCTACAGCAGAGAAGCCCTCTGGAGAGCACTAGGGTCTTAGAAACAGGAAGTCTACTGGACATGGGAAGTGAACTATTCACAATACAGTTAATTAATAAGCAACGCACTGTCAGAGCAGGCAAGCTTGGGAAACAGGAACTCAGCACTGTGTAAACAGAATTTGGCCAGAAGGGCTTCTTCGATTATCATTGACCCTCCCTCTGTGGCTCACTGAACCAAAATAACCCAGGCTGTCCTGACCCACCTGGTGCACTTCCCCTTTCCTTCCACACCCCGTTCTTTCAACTCAGCTCCCAGATCCTTCATGAAGTCCTTCTTAAGCAGCTCAGCCACTGCAAGATTTTCTTCCTCTGGATTCCCTACTGCACTTATTCTCCCATCATAGAGTGGCGGGGTTGGCAGGGAGTTTAATGTGTGCCCAGACAAGCCCTTTCCAGGCATTTAAGCCCCACAACAATGCTGAAGTAGGCACTACTAATAGACCCATTTTACAGACTGTGAAATCGAGTTGGGTTACACAGTGTTATGCAGCTGGGAAGCGTCAGTGCAAACGAGACTCAAAGCTACACTTGTCAAATCCTGCCTTATATGGTTAGATTTTTAAAGATCATCTAAGTTTCCTGTGGTTAGGTCCCAGGCCTTTGCTTCTTTTATTTTTTCCACCAATTTTCAGATATTTATTAGTCAGTGTAGTCCCCAACACAATACAACAACATGATTTCATGCATTTAGAGAAGAAATATTTCCTGGTTAAGTAGAAAATTGTGCAGATGGTTTCTGGAAGACCTTCCTTATCAGTAGTTTTATAGTGAAACATTTTGTTTAGAAGTCTGGACCTTCTTTCTTCAGTTTGTTATAATCCACATCCACTAAGTAGAACTTGTATTGATCATTGGGACCCATTTTGTTTCAGAATTCTGGGTATTGTTCAATCCAGATTGGGGCAGAAAGGCCTTTCCTTCTTGACCGCCATCTCTTCAGCCCCCAATGCTTACCGCAAGGCCCGACACATATTTAATGCTTAGTGAAATTTTGTGTACAGATTTACATATGTAGGCAAGAAGTTTAGTTTAAAAAATTATTTCCCTTTATCTAGAATCCATAGGTGGAAGAATGTAAATTAAAGAGAAATTATGTGTCAAATTATTATTTGACAATAAGAAATTATTATTATTAAGAGAAATTATTTCTGGATCATTTTTTATTTGGCATAGTCTGTGTCTCCTCATTATTAAGAGTTTGAATATTCTTTCAAGGGGGTTTAAAATGATCTCTAGTGCTAATTTCTTATAGTATTTTTGTGAGACAAATGTGAAAATATGAGTAGGCTCATTGTAGCTCCTTTTACAAAAAGGATCTAAATAAAATAGGCAACGGATCTGAGGTCAGACATCAAATTCCCCATATTTTACACTTATGAATGGTTGCCCCAACACTTTGATCCTTACACAAAATTTAGTCAAGCCAAGAAAACCTCTTACCAGGCATATCACGTAAAACACCAAATACTAGGCTGATGAACACTAGGAGGAAGAAAAACATGTTAGAGCAGCAACCAAGTTTTCTCTGGGCTCAACTTAAACAACTGTTACTTTAAGTCTGGAATTCTCTTACACACACGTATTAATATTAGATTGAGACTTTCTTGCATAAAACAAAAACAAAAACAAAAAAACCCTCAAGTAAATGGTTCTTACTTGACAGGAGTACCAGCAGCTCATGGTCTAAGAATTACATCTTAAGTGGATCCAAAATAAGGCCCATTTTAGAGCTGGCACCAACATCAAGTATGTACAGACCCTGTTCCACCCTGTTATTTCCACTTAAAATATATTTGGGAACAAGATCATTTCAATAGGTACAGAAAAAGCATTTGATAAAATCCAGCACACTTTTAGGATAAAAACCCTCAACCAATGAGGCATGGAAGGAAAAGACCTTAAAATTATAAAAGCCATATATGACAAACCCACAGCCAACATCATACTGAACGAGAAGAAGTTGAAAACATTCTCCCTAGGAACTGCCCACTGTCACCACTTCTATTCAATGTAGCATTAGAAGTTCTAGCCAGAGCAATCAGGCAAGAGAAAGAAATAAAAGGCATCCAAATCAGGCAAGAGGAGGTCAAACTAACTGTTTGCTGATGATATGATTTTATATCTAGAAAACCCTAAAGACTCTACCAAAAGACACCTGGAATTGATAAATAAATTCAGCAAAGTCTCAGGGTACAAAATCAATGTACACAAATCAGTAGCATTACTATATACTAACAACAGTCAAGTGGAGAATCAAATCAACAACTCAATGCCATTCACAATAGCTATAAAGAAAATAAAATACCTAGAAAAACTGTTAACAAAAGAGGTTAAAGCCCTCTATGAGGAGAACTACAAAACACTGATGAAAGAAATCACAGATGATACAAACAAATGGAAAAACATCCCCTGCTTGTGTTTTACTAGAATCAACATAATTAAAATGACCATCCTGCCCAAAGTAATTTACAGATTCAATACAATCCCCATCAAAATACCAGTGTCACATTTCACAAATATAGACAAAATAATCCTAAGCTCCATTACGAACCAAAAATGATCCCGGATAACCAAAGCAATCTTAAATAAAAAGAACAAATCTGGAAGTATCACATTACATGGCTTCAAATTATACTACAAAGGTATAGTAACCAAAACAGCATTGTACTGGTATAAAAGTATAGACATAGACAAATGGAACAGAACAGAGAATCCAGAAATAAAACCATCTACCTACAACCAACTGATCTTCAACAAAGCAGACAACAACATATACTGGGGAAAGGAAGCCCTATTCAATAAATGGTGCTGGGCAAAGTGGACAGCCACATGCAGAAGAATGAAACAAGACCCCTGTCTCTCACCATATACAAAAATTAATTCAAGGTGTATTAAAGACTTAAATGTAAGGCATTAAAGCATAAAAGCTGTAGAAGAAAATGTAGGAAAAAACTCTTCTTGACATGGGCCTACGCAAAGAATTTATGATTAGAACTCCAAAGGCAAATATAGCAAAAACAAAAATAAATAAATGGGATTTAATTAAATTAAAAAGCTTCTGTATAGCAAAGGAAATAATCAACAGATTATTTCTGTTGGAAATCAATAATTTCCATTCTGTAGAATAGACAACCTACAGAATGGAAAAAACATTCACAAGCTATGCATCCAACAAAGGACTGATATCCAGAATCTACAAAGAACTCAAACAAATCAGCGAGAAAAAAACAAACAACTCCATCAGAAAGTAGGCATAAGACATGAGCATAAGTTTTTCGAAAGAAGATAAATGGCCAGCAAACATATGAAAACATGCTCAACATCACTACAGAGAAATGCATATTAAAACTACAATAAGAGTCTACTTTACTTCTATCAGAATGGCCATTATTAAAAAGTCAAAAAACAACAGATGCTGGTGTGGATGCAGAGAGAAAGGAATGCTTATATACTGTTGGTGGGACTGTAAATTAGTACAACCTCAAGGGAAAACAATATGGAGATTCCTCAAACAAACAAATGTAGATCTACCATTCGATCTAGCAATCCCATTGCTGGGTATCTATTCAAAGGCAAATAAGTCATTTAATCAAAAAGACACCTGCACTCAAATGTTTATCATAGCACAATTCACAATTGCAAAGATGTGGAATCAACCTAAGTGGCCTTCAATTCATGACTGGATAAAGAAAATGTGATATATATATATATATATATTAACATATACACACACAATGGAGTACTACTCAGCCATAAAAAAGAATGAAATAATGTCATTTGCAGCAACGTGGATGGAATTAGAGACCATTATCCTAAGTGAAGTATCTCAGGAATGGAAAACCAAACACCATATGTTCTCACCAATAAGTGGGAGCCAATAGTTGGGTACACACAGCACAAAGCGATACAAAGGATATGAGAAATCAAGAAGAGGGGAGGACAGATGGGTGGCTGTGGGATAAAAACTTACCTTTGGGTACAATGAATCCTATTCTGGTGACAGGTATACCAAAAGCCCTGACTTAAGCATTATACAAGTTATCCAAGTAACAAAAACACTTGGTCTTCTTAATTCATATTCAAATTTAAAAAAGTATATACATATTTGGGAGATCTTTACACCAAAAAGAATTTCCTTGTTTTTGTTTTTTAAATAGTTGGGCTGGTTGAAGGAGTGTCTGGAAATGCAGTTACCCATTCAGAAAAACTCTCAGAATATGAATAAACATGTTGCTAACGAATAAACTTTAAAGGTAAAGACATTCCCAAAGGTGATGGAGGCAGAAAGGGCGTAAGAGAAATCATTCTTCCAATTATATACAAGATAGTCTCTATAATTATTGAGCCTTACGTCACTCTTGTTTGTTTGTTTTCCTAAAATTAACAGTAGGGCAGAAATCCATAATGAATCCAGACCACTAGCACAGGTTTCCTTTCTATTTTCCATTTGACTCCTGACATTGGGTAGGTAACACTGTGTCCTTGAGTCAGGGAAATCGGTTTGCTGCTTCCCAGCAGGGCTCTGGGTGATAATGATGTCACAGGCTTGCTCCCACAAGAGCAGAGATAAAAAGTAGCACTTACCCATGAGAATCAAATTAAGTGATCTGATGGCCGAGGCATTCTGGCTCAAAAGCATCTTTGTTATTTTTTAAGTCCTTTCTTTACTTTTACATCTGAAAGGAAATCAACATGAAGTGGTCAAAATTCTGAAGTGTCTAATTAAATTGCAAAGATCAAAATGGGTGAAAAGTTAAGACAATGAAAGACTAGCAGAAATAACAAAATTCTTGGCTCCAGGAATTGGACCATCTACCCCATTTATTTAAGCAGCCTGGTCTCAGCTTCTGGGCTCAAACGCCTCCCTAGTCAGGGAGAAATCTTAAATTTAACTTTTGAACAGGTAACCATCATTTGGTTAAAAATTTTAAGCATACAATAAAGTAAATAGTGAAAAGTCTTGCTTCCTTTAGAAAACTACTTTTATTTAGTTTTTGTGTGTGTGTGTTTTTTTTTTTCATGAGAGATTTTAATTTTATTCAAAAACATTATGAAATGAGGGTATATCTTCCAGTTTAAGGTCCTCCCTACAGAGCTTCTCACTTGTTTTTTTTTGTATTTTATTTTATTTTATTTAATTTTTTTTTTTATTTTGGCATATTATGGGGGCACAGATTTTAAGGTTTCAATAAATGCCCATTTCCCCCCCTTGTGTTTTGGTTTTTTTTTTTTTTTTACATTTATTCTTAATTTCCCTCTCTTTTAGACAAGACATAGCATGTCCAGTGCCTGTTTTGCCTTGATTTTTCCACTTAAAAATGTATCTGGGAGGTCTTTCCAACAAAAAGAATTTCTTTGCTTCTGTTTTTTTAAACAGTTGCATAGCATTCTGCTCTATGGACATACCCTCATTTATATACCTGGTCCCCTACAATGGACATTTGAATTGTTTCCAATTTTTTCTTCAAGGAATTCTTTTAAATGTGAATCATTTTGCACACATGCAAGTCTTCATGTAGAAAAATTTCCAGAAGTAGGATTGTTAGACAAAGGGCATGTCAGTTAGGCTTCTAGCAGGAAACAGAACATTCACTTTAATTGAAGGACTACTCTTACGGTCACTTAACAATAGGAAAACATTGGGACAAATGCATGGTTAGGCAAATTCATTATTGTGTAAACATCATAGAGTGTACTTACATAAACCTAGATGGTATAGCCTACTACACACCTAGGCTAAGTTATAGCTGTTCCTAGGCTACACATATGTACAGCTTGTTACTGTATTGAATACTGTAGGCAATTGGAACACAATGGCATTTGTGTATCCAAACATAGAAAAGGTACAGTAAAAATACGCTATTATAATCTTAAGTGACTATTGTTGCATATGTGGTCCATCCCTGCTGTAAACATTGTTTTGTGGTGCATGACTGTATTTATAATGCAAATGTGTGAGCACGCTGTAGGCAAACCAAAAGGGAGGTGCAGTACCTCGAGCTCACAACAGTGGGGGCTGTTACCTACCACTCTGGGCTTGAGGGGAAAAAAGAAGGCACCAATACTGGAATTTGTATGGAGTTGTGACATGAGTCCACAGGACACAGCCAGCCCAAGGGGACCACGCCGAGAGAGGACTAAAGAACAGACATCCCTCACTGCCTCCCTCCCTTCTCTCGTTTGGGGCTCCCGATTGGCTGAACCCAACCAGAAGCCACAGGGCAGCGGTCTGGGGTTGCACCTGTATAAGATTGGATCCCATTGTAAAGGGTGTGGAGGGGAAGGGAGAGTCTGCAGGGCCACACAGACAAGACCTGGCATTGGGACAATGCATCTGTAACTTGGACAGAAATTGCCAAGCTGCCTGCCCTCGGGGCTATACCAACTTACATAGACAACTGCAATGTGTGGTTCTCCCCAGAAACCAAAATTACAGCCGTATCATCAAGCTCTTAGATTTTTCTCAAATCCATAAATGAAAAATTGTCTTCACACCAATACTAATTTGGATTTCTCTTATTCTTAGTGGGATCTAGCACCTTTTCATACATTTCAGCAATGTTTGTATTTCCTTTCCTGTTAACTGCCTGTCCTGTACCTTTGCCTATTTTTTTTTTTATTGAGTTGTAGCTTTTATTAGATTGCAGGAATTTCTATGAGTATGAGGGAAACTTTGTGATACGAATCACATCTTTTGATTTTATACCACTTGGAAGCTTCTGAGGTTTATGAGTTGAGATTTAAAGGTTTGTTTTTTTTTTTTTCTTGGTTTCTGGATTTTGAGTCATAGAGAGTCTTCCTCACCCCAAGGTAAGAAAGAAATCCATCAAGAATTTTAAGAAGCCCTGATTGCTCTTGTTGCTGCTCCTCCTCAGACCTTTTGTCCCCCTCCAAGTGACTAAGCCCTGTAGATTCTGGATATTCTTCTGTCCCTTTAACCCCTGACGCATTATCATCAAAATGAAAAAAGATCATGAAATAGCAGACTGAGTTCAAACTATAAAAACCTTAATTTTAAAAGTTTTCTTGATGTCATAGTAACAGGGTATTCTCATAGAGAAATTCAAGAGATTCCAAGTTAAAATTTTCATCTCTGCCACAAACTCTACCACCCATGGGATATCCAGGCAACTTATCCCATAATACTGCACCCATTTAGAAACTCTGATGAGATATCTTGGTATGTGACGTCATCTCCCATGATCACTCCACGGCAGAGGGACTGCATGGCTGTGAACCTTCCCCTAGATCCTGAGCACACCTAGACTGCACAAATGCCACTCCACCTGACCCAACCTGTGGCCTCTAGTCCCTCAGGTTTTTCTGATCGTGGCACCTCTTCACCTCTGTTATGTATTTGCAGGAACACTCAGTCCTCTCAGCAGCCAAGAAAACACACACACACACACACTCTTTCTTTCTCTCTCTCTTAAAAGTCCCACCCTCTCCCTCTGGGTGAGGGGATGACCACTTGGCTTGCTTTGCTCCTGGTGACCAGGAGTCCAATCACCAGATGTCTTGAACTAGATGTCTGATAACTAGATCCTTGCTTGCTTGGAAAATCTAATTTCCCATCTTGGCATCCCGCCTGAATCATTAATGAGTCTCCTTAAAACTCTCCCCGACTATAAATAGACCAGTCTTCCTAAAGCATGGCTCGTTAGTCTCATCTCTGCAGCCAGGGCTGGCCCCCGGTCCCCAGGGCCCTGCAGGCAAGAGGGGGCCCACTCTTGGCTTAAAGTTCTGTGGCTGTCCTGAAATTGTTAACCATTTTATGTTTCAATGTGTGTTTTGTTAGTGGAGTCTGTTGGGACAATGGAGCTTTAGTGCACACTGGGCCCGCTCCCCTCCCCTGCACGATGCGAGTCCCAGGCCCTGCCTGGCTTCTCTCTATGCCCCACGACTGTCCTACTTTTTGTGTGGGGCGTTAACTAGGTCACACTGGCAAAGAGTCCCAACCTTCCACTGAAGCCCTCCTGGTGCGGGTGCTGGGGAGGTCAGGGTCGGTGCTCTAACCCTGCCCCAAGGACTGGAGCCAGGGGGTGGCTGGCTGCAGTTTGGGTCTAGAGGGGGTGAGCCTCTAAGTCACCCTTGACCCAGGTACCCAGCATATCTGGAGAGGTTTAAAGACCCTTGGATGTGGCCAGTATGTTGTTGGTTGGGATGGGCTTGGGAAGAGGAGATATGAGGAGGCTTGACTTCCCCAGAGCTCACTGCAGGCTGAAGTGAGGGGCAGTGCGCAGGTGCATGCATGCCTAGAGTCCCCCTGGGCAGAGGGGACCCAGCCATCCATGGGGATCTGCATTAGCCCCTCAATATTCTTGTGCCTGAAGGAGCGCTCCTTTGGGTGGCTCTGGGGTAGGGTGGGACCACCTTTTCTTCTTCCTGAGTGGGGCTTGAGTTTGCTTCCTTTGGCTGGTTCTAGGGAATCTCTCAAGATGTGCTATAAGATACTAATTGTGTAATTCAGTGATTCCACATACAAATTAAATGTCCTTATATTAGCATTTAAATCAGGCTTTGCACAATGTAATGAACTGTAAAATGTACGCTTAATAATTCAAATTTTTATTTTTTTTACTTAGAATGACAATAAACAACAAATCAAAAAAACATGACAAGTTGGGAAAAAGCGGGATAAAAGAGAAAAGTTTATATTTTAGTACCTTTAGTGGTACTTTTTCTGCTTTTTAAGTGAGTAAGCCCCATATTTTTATTTTGCTTTGGGTAGACCCTGCAAATTATGTAGCCAGCCCAGCCTGTAGCTCACTGTTGCCGACACCCAGCTCCTTGCATCCTGTACTCAGATTAAATTCAATGCATTCAGCCTCTCCAGTTTTCCCTGGAGTTACTCTCCCATACATGTGCCAAGTTCCAGGCGACAGATCACCCCCTGCTCTTCCCAGATCTCCTACCTGGGAGGTCTCCTTGCCATTTACACTCAAACACACACTACCAGTCTTCAAGGCCAAGTTCAAGTGGATGGACTAGGTGAAGTGATTCTTCTCTGAATTCCAATTCCTCCTGAACAGACAGACAAGCCTCAAGGAACACGCTGCCTCAGAGTCCCCAAGTAGAAAGCACAACTGTCTTTTCTTCTATCTGGCATAGCCTAATGCACACTGCCAAGCAGCCCATGAGTAATGAATGAACTAGATTCAGAAATATTATACAAACACAATTACCTGCCTTTTTCTGGAAATACAAAATAAATACAAAAAAGTGCCATCCAGCATCAATCAATAGCTTGGCATATTTGCTAGTTTTTCACATATCTTTCTTGTTTCTGTAAAAATTCCTCTACATGCTCATTTAAATAAATTTAAATAATGTATAAAAGTAAAAATCCCAGTATCCAGATAAATCCAATAAAGCATTAGGTAAACAATCCCACGGATCTTTCTATGCATAAACACACATGTACACGTACAGGCAGGCACACACATATGGTGTTTCTGTCTGAATTTAATTTTACTTGGGAAAAAACTAAAATAAAGCCAAGGGAATTGTTGAAATTTGATTTTTTTGTGGCCATAAGAAAGTATAACTTCCTATAATATCCCTCTACAGTTTAAAAAAAAATTATAGAAGACATTAGAAAGTTGGTGTATTATATATTCATACAGCACCTTTTAATTTTAAACCATATTTACTGATCCATGCTTTGAAAAAGAGA